CTTGCAGGACATCATAAAAATCACAAACACGCGAGAAAAAAAAATCTTATGAGTACGCGTGATTTTGAGCTTCGCAGCTCTAAAGATGCCCGGTAAATGTCGTCCAGTCTGTTTTGTCTATACTCCGTTTCACCGTAATTTGGCAACCCTCAGTCGCGGAGCAAAGCACGTGACAGCTACTTTTACGAGCAGTACTATGGCACCTGCAGCGCGTCTCCGACTGGTGTGGTTAGCGTCTTATGCTGGCCATACATCAAAAGTTGTCCCGAAGTGCAACAAATGACGTCACAGAAGACGGAGTGTCACGCTGTTGCATCTCGCGATCCTGGCAATTCATCTTAGAAATGCTGGCGAAAACCACGAGGGAACACGAGTGTCGCTGTCGTCATGGCGTCCCAACGAAAAGCAATTATACAATTTCGACGTTTTTGTAATTCGGTAATTTAAATTACTGTATATAATTTTTAAGAAAGTAAAGACATCATAACCAAATAGGAACTTCCGTGCCAAAACATGCAGTGCGAAGTGAAGACAACTACTATCTTTTTTTTTTTTCTTGATGTCCACAAAAAAAAAAAAAAGGCTATGCAGCATCGATCCTACCGTTTTTTTTTTTTGTTGTTTTTTTCGCACATTATGTGATGTCCTCTAACACGAAAGTACCGACGTAAAAGCGCTGTAGAGACGATATAAAAACAAAAATTTAAGGGAATCGAGCTTTGTAGTAAACGGAAAAAAATAAATAATTAACGACTTTTTACGGTAAACACTTCACCTCTAAGTAGAACTTCAAAAAAGTGAGGGTTACGCGCTTTCATGCCCATTTCAACAAAGTTGGGAGAACGATGTATTGCATCTTGTGAATAGACATGTGGAGCAGCATGTTTATGTTAGAGGCATTGTGTGTAATCGCTGCGCAGTACCTGCCAAAAGAAGATACTATTTGGGCAGTCTCAACCGTTTCCGTCTGTGTGTGCTACGAATACAGCAACTCTTTTCGTAGAAGAAGTGATGAGGAAATGGCGTGCCCTTGATGATACGATTGTGATTATGAAATAAAATTTTTAATCAGCCAATAATTGCGACCTGTCCGGTCGCCTGGAACCCCGACAACAACTCTCGTTCTCTGGAAAGTTCATTCTAATATTTACACGTTTTGTGGAGTTCATCGAGCGAATAAGAATGTTCCAACGATGAGCTAAACCTACACGAGTTCCCCAATCCAACTCGGCGCTTTTGAATTTTAGCGCCGTAGATAGTTCTGCGAACAGAGTATACTTCTGTGCAAATATTCGTCTAACACTTTTGCAACGTTGGAAAGCATCGGAATGATTCAGAATCACTGCGGAGTTGATACTCGGGAAGATAAGACGGGCACTTGGGAGAAACGGACCGTGGCATTTGAGACAGGGGCACAACCGGGGGACAAACGTGCTACTATCGCAAACCCTTCCAAGGTCATCGCTTGGGCGACCGCGCGCGCGCCCAAGAAACCTTTCTTTTCTTCTTTTTAGGGGTGGGGGGGGGGGGGGGGGGGGGGCGAGTGGAGGGGAGTGGTGTAGGCGCTGATTGTCTTCCTCCTTTGTGGCTTTTGACAGACGCACAACGAGACTGGCAGAACAAGCGCATGATTCATTTCTTTCGATGGAGGCGTTCTGTCTGTGTATGCGAACATGATTTTTTTTCCCCTTTTAGTAGTTAGTTGTTCTTGCCGTGACTCGGGTCCCAGTGGATGCGTTGTCGTTGTATGCCCACTATTTTTTTTTTTTTTAGTTTATGGTAGTTTTTGCGCTGATGGGGTATCAAGGTAGACAAAAAGTAAAAAAAATAAAATAGCGCCTCGACAAAAAAAAAAAAAAAAAGTTGTTGCGATCAGGAACGTTTTCAAAGCCATTTTAGGAGCCTGCGGTGTTACCACAGGTGCAGGATTGAGAGCGTAACCCACGCACTTGAAGAGAAGGGGAAGCTCTCGTCTTATTGGAACTCTCTTTTATGGGTTTCCACGTCGCGATTGTCCTTCAAAATCAACTGTCATTTATTTCTCGCTCGTGGCTTTCAAGTACTGGAAGCCACGACTCGAGCCACAATAGTTTTGCGAAATCAAGGTTTCGCTGAAATGGATAACTCTCACGTACAGTTCGACGCGCAATACCTTTGCCGTATTGACTCGCGAGAGATGCCCCCAACACGGCTGAGTATGGCGGTGCCACAGACCTAACATCTAAATTTTGTTGCCTTACCTGTTACTCTTTCGCGCCCATTTTGAGCCATATCAAAATGAAAGCGCATGATGAAATAAAAGTCACACTCGTTTTCCGCTCGATGGAAATTTCACGCCAGCTCGCTGTCTTTGCTGGTACCTTGAGCGTTTCCCAGCAATGCGGAGAGTTAAAAAAACAAAAAAAGAAAAAAAAAAACGTACGATGGCATCCTTTGCGGGATGAGGACGATTCGTCACATGCGCATTCGTCACAGGACGATTGGTCACAGGAGGATTCGTCACATAGGAACATTTGTCACAGGATGACTCGTCATGCGGGCAACTGGTCTCATTGATCGAGCAGGGGACGATAGTAAATTGTAAATTTCAACATCTGCCTACATACCCTGATGAGGAGTTTCACAATTTTCCACTGTCACGTAAACCAATGGTTATATAAACTAATATTACAATACTCATCCGCTTTTCCTTTCATTATATTACGGGTCTTCAGCAGGTTGATCTCAGTTGCAGGCTTGAACGAGCAATAATCCGACTGGCAGCCAAATTAGTTTTTAGTTTTGCCTTGCATACACCTATTCGACAAAACCAACAAGTATCGGAATTCCTTCTGCCGAATGTGTACGAGTACCCCTCGTGCAGCATCATGGCTCTCTCTGTTGCGATCACCTCCATCCTTTTGAATGTAGTTCAAAAATAGTCGCTCTTCTATGGCCTCCGCATTCACCGTTCAGGACGGACCCAGATAGCTAGAACGTCTGTTACAAATTCTTTGACCTCGAGAAGCGAAAGACATGCTAAGATAAGAGGTGACCGACTTTCTGAGGCCCAACCAACATTCAATGTTCGGGACCGAATCAGAAGCTAAAACGTTCCTTACAAATTCTTCGCCTTTGTCCGCCCGAACCAAATTGAACAATACATTTTTGGGGGGACGAACTATTGTGAGACCGGTTGGCCGCGTGACGAGTCATCCTATGACGAATGTTCCTGTGTGACGAATCGTCCTGTGACCAATCGTCCTGTGACGAGTGTGCATGTGACGAATGGACCGTATCCCATCCTTTGCACACTCATTACTTCTATAACACTGAGCCACCTCGTATCCTTTTGTTTTTCTTTCATGGTACTAATTTCTTTCTGCGCATTACGGCTGTTACGACGCTAAGTCTGTCTGCCCTTCGAATTTAAACTTAGGCTCAGATCAGGGACGAACCAGTTTAAATCAGGAAAATATAATTAACACTGTAGCAAAGTAAATCTATCATATCGATCGGAAATACGATTTGGCACATTCCATCTGAACACATATTGTGCACAGCGAATGCAATAGCGAGTCAGCGTGCAAAACGCCGCCACACTGAGCTACCATAACATCTCAGCGATTTTTGCATAGCACCGAGCACGGAAAAGAGAAAACAGTTCTTCATTCACATAAACGAAGCAAATTTATTTAAAGCCCGGACACTCCGTACGTCCAATCTAGCTAAGGTTATCAATAGACTCGACCATGTCATTTGTCGAAACAGATAAAAGACGTTGGCAAAAATGATTAGACTGAATAAGTCAGTCTAACGCACGTATTTTACCAACCGACGGTCGCGCGCCTTCAATACCCTTTCCAATTGTCATTGCGCACCTTGGACACACTTTGGGAAGCAATGCATATTTACATCGCCGCCCGAGGTCTCCATTAAACGTGTAGTGCTGACCCAAATAAAATGCTAACCTGACTCTCAATCGCTCACCGCAAAGGACGATTTCGAACAGGCGGTACTGTAGGTCACTTGAGATAAAAAAAAAAAGAAAAACAAGCTATAGAAACGAGCGTCGTAAAAAAGGGGACCGGCATTTTTATTCCTACCTCCGAACAGAAACGAGCGCCACCCACTGCATCACACAGCGCAGAGGCCGGACTCGGTCACCGCGCGTACATACCAAGCGCCCGCGAGGGATGCAGAAACTTCCTCCGCCGGGAGAACACGGCAGATTTCGGGATCTATTTCACGCAGCGGATAACGCGGGCCTTTTCACACCTCGATACTGGCGCCATCTAGAAGTTGCGCGTTCAACCACGTTTCGAGCCGCGCGCCATCTGGTGGCTGAAACGGACGAATAAATAGAGGTACCGCGCCCTCTTAACGCAACTACTCTCAGTCAGATTACACGCATCTCAACCAGGATTGGAGCCCACCACATGGACATTTGTAAGGCGACACTTTACCTCGGGCAACCGAGCCACCAAGGCAGCTAATGCATAGATTAAACTCAATGTAAAGCTATAAGCAACCCTCTTGGAACAATACATGTGGGTATGCATGGATAAAACAGTAATAGTATTACTCACTCCAGGAAAGAGTAATCTCCAGACCAGGTGTGTAGCCAGGGAAAGATAGGTCCTCCTCGAAATTCCCGTTTTGCTGGATCATCCTCATCCTCCTCCTCCTACTCCTCCCCCCCTCCCCCGCCCATATAAAATCCTGGCTACAGCTTGCTCAGGACAGAGTGTGTATGCACATGCAACCATTCACAATAAAATCAAAACAATGGCTTTAAAGAATGTCGGTGTCCCTTAGCAGTTTCATGCGAGATGCCGAGGAAACGTCGCTCAAGCTTTTCTGTAGATGCATGCAGCACAATTACCATTGAGACAGTTTGAAACGGTCATTTGTGCTACATCACCTGTGACAGCCAGAGTGGCCATGTTGCAACAGACTCTAGGCCATACAATAACTTTGACACAACAAAAACCAAAAAATTGCAGCAACGCAAAAATGATGGCAGTGCATACAAAAAAAAGTAATGCTTCTATAATTGCTTACAAGCATACATTACTTTATTCTGTAGATCAAACCCTGAAGAGATTTATACTCATGTACACTTTACGAAGTGAAGAATGCTGTTTCTGATGAGCAAGCTGTAACTTGAAAAACAGTAGATATAGCTGGTTCAGGTCATATTGATCAGCTGCTGAACATATACAGGACATTTTAAAACAGTTGCCTGAAAGAAAAAAACAAAAGGAAACAGTCAAGTTAGTCTCTGGGGCATTAGCAAACTAAAGAGAAATAAAACAGAAAAGAATAGTGCTGTTGTTTCTGACTCTTCACCCCTATTACGTACCTTAGGAACAAGCCTCAGTGTATTTTGAGGCAATTCTTTTAAAACTGGTAGTAGTCGAGCTGACGCAGAGATGACTGTACTGGTGCCTTCAACCTGAAAGATGACAAAATGCATGAAAGCAAAACAAGTACTCAAGAAATTGCTCCAGGCAACATAAAGCTCAATGTGACCAAACAAACGATCCAAAGGGGTAGAATTATAAGCAAGAAACACCTGACGAGAGCAAATAAGGGTGTGATTACCTGAAGGCACTTGCTAATATGTCATCCTACTGACATGGGTGAATTATTAAAACTGTAGTGAAGTCAACAGGCCAGTCAAAGAATATGGTTATAGTTCTGCCTGATAGCAGTGCCTTGCACTGTTAAAATTATAATGTAATTAGGGGATGGAAGCAACACAGCTGGACTGAATTTGAGAACCTTGGTAGCATATATGTAATCCTCATTGGAACTCATTCAAACTACATATCCACACACCCATCGCTGCTATTTCTTTTTTATGTGAAATGTCAGAAAACCTAATTTCTGTAGTCTTTTCCTACAGTAGAGTTCATAATGAATGTCACTGCACCCTACCTGCAACATTGCTGGAACATGTGGAGAGCAGAGGAGGTCTTCATTTGTCTTGTAGATCTTTGCCATGATCGAAAGTGTGGTATTGATGCAACAGCTGTTCCTGGCTTCATGGTGCTCAAGCACATCAACTAAAAGTCTGGATGCAAGAAAACTGGTTTTAGGTCACCTGCTAGTTCACACTTCCATCTTGCACAAATTTCATGATTTCGTTGTATGTCCTACTAAGAAGCTCCACAATATACAACCTACAAATGACAATGCTCCATGCCTTTGTCACACTCAATTCATTACCCACCTGAAAGAAGCCAGCACGCATAAAAAGGCTTCCAATGGGGCCAAGAGCTTGTTAAGCAGTGTTCCTTCAAAGTTGGCAGGGTCCAGAGATGAGCAAAGTCTGGGGTTTGCTTGGAGAAGCTGAATGAGGAGCTTTTGCAAGTCATTGTCTAAACTCTAAAATTAGAAAACAAAAAAAAATTGTTTAGAAGCACAAGAGCTTTCTATACACTCCGTGCGACGAGGCTGGCGTGCCGCCGCGCGGCCGGCACCGAAGGTAGGCAGTGAGAACCCCAGAGAAAACGAAACCGAAACCACACCGCGTACGTTGGTACGCATTGAAGTCGGAGCGGTGCGGTTGCCTGTGCTGCATCATTAAGTGCTTCAATAGTTATACGTCGTATCTCGTGGGGACAAAGTTTCACATTTTTTCACCTCGCCAATGTTTTGCGGGACAGCGACAACGATGGACCCGTGTGCCGTACGACGCGAGAAATTTGGTTTCCCGATCATGTCTGCCACTGTGTCGGCACGGCTGACATATTCTACACTGCCGCTTTGCGCTCTGCGTTAGTTTTCGTACCAGTAACACCTACATGTGTTAGCGCCGATGGGACGAACTGAAATGCCATCCCACACTCGCGGGTATGCAGTGCCAATTTCGTTGGAGGAATGCCCTCCAAAGAAGTTTTGTCCCCATCGTAGGTGTCGATGATATTTCCGGACAAGTGTGGCATGCAATCTGTACTTCATAAAGAAAGATTCAAACTGTAAAAAAAGTGACAAATATGAATCTAAAGAAAACAACAACGAAACTCGGAATCACTGGAGAATCGACGTTTGAGTATGGAAGTTTATGTTGTGTGCTTTCTTTCTTGACCAGCCTCCTTTAGGATGTGGAAACACTGACACCCCGATTTCTGTAGACAACAATGTTTTTTTCTCAGCTTTAGAGCCACCTATCACAAAGTGGTTCGAACTGGAAATACCGTCCACTGGTCCCTTCCTACCTGTAAAATGTGCACCTCCCACAATGAGTAGTATTATCTTAACAGCCCTTGATGGTCAAAACCAGTTCCCATTTAGTTACGCCACCCAAACTAAATTTCCACCTGGTTTCGCTATGCCAACTCTTTTTGGTATAATAAGTGTTGTGTCTAGTTATGGTCATGTCAAAGTACAATCAGCACCTCACACAACAGGTTATTACACAACCGCTGACCGCGAAAGCCCTCGACGGCCAAACCGTGCGTTGGCTGACAACTTTGTTTTCTCGGCTTTGGAACCACCTTTCGTAAAGTTGTTTCAATTCGAAGTACAGTCTACTAGTCTCTTCCTACCTGTAAAGTCTCCACCTCCCACGACCAGTGGTATTCTCTTGACAGCCCTTTCATGGTCAAAACCAGTTCCCATTTAGTTACGCCACCCAAACTAAATTTCCACCTGGTTTCGCTATGCCAACTCTTTTTGGTATAATAAGTGTTGTGTCAAGTTATGGTCATGTCAAAGTACAATCAGCACCTCGCACAACAGGTTATTACACAACCGCTGACCGCGAAAGCCCTTGACGGCCAAACCGTGCGTTGGCTGACAACTTTGTTTTCTCGGCTTTGGAACCACCTTTCGTAAAGTTGTTTCAATTGGAAGTACAGTCTACCAGTCTCTTCCTACCTGTAAAGTCTCCACCTCCCACGACCAGTGGTATTCTCTTGACAGCCCTTTCATGGTCAAAACCGGTTCCCATTGAGTTATGCCGCCCAAACCAAATTTCCACCTGGTTTTCCTATGCCACCTACTTTTGGTATGATAAGTGCTGTGTCACGTTACTGTCAAGTCCAAGCACCTGTGAGCCCAAATCTACACTTTGCACAGCCCGCTATAACAGAAACATTTTAGATCCAATATTGGATATCTTGTACAGCTTTATTTCTTTATTCGTTAGAAACATAACTTTCACACCTGCTGTTTTAATGAAACTCGGCACACTTTGTGCACAAACTTAGTGAACACCTCACTCACCTCGAAATATCATTGTTCCAGCAGTCCTACGTTTACAGCGACGAGCGAAATAAATTTCCCACTCGGAGCAATTATGGTGGCAGCCGTCTTGCTTTTCGAAAAATTGCTCCAACACCTTTTTCGGCCGCAACTAGAGAAATTACCCCTAATACAGTGAAACCTGTTTAGAACGAACCCACTTACAACGAATTATTGTCGATATCGAACTCGTGGAAAATTTAAATAAAAATGGATGTAAAAAGTATGTTTTATAACGAACAACATATTGGTTATATCGAACTTTTTCCCCCCGGAAGGCTTCCAAAAACGCGCAAACAATCGTCTTCTAGCCTGTCCCTTTTCTACAAAAAAAAAGTAAGAAAGAAAGAAAATTCCTAAAGCTCAAGTCGCGAACAAAATTGAGCGAAGAGAGGCGATTCAGAAGGAGAGAAAGCTAAGAAATACACTCCGCACGCACGCATAAAAAAAAAAAAACTTTTCATTCCAAAACCATTGCCCACGAAGAGAAGCGATTCAGAATGGGAGATAAGCTAAAGGCAAAAAAAAAAAGAAAATTTTTCGGCACATTGTTACAAGGCGGAGGCGAAGAGATGAGAAAGAAAGAGAAGCTCTTGCCTACAACGAACGCATCGTGGAAGTTCGTTATAAATAGTTTTTGCTATATCGAATTACTTGCTATATCGAACTCATCGTAGCGTTTCCTGCGGTTCGTTATAAACGGGTTTGACTGTAACGACTCAAACTCAATAGATAAGAAGTGGAGAACAGCTAAATGCCCTTCTGCCCCAGCACTCATGCAACGTCACCCTCAACGTACCTGCTCAAAAAGCAAAAGTTCCGACCGTGCACGCTTCCGCCGCCACAGCTTGGCATGCAAAAAGGCGCCGCAGGCTGCTGAACGCGCCTCACTGTCGAACGCCAGCTCCTCCACTAGCGGCACTGCGCGCATTTTTCAAAACGCCCCCTACATTTCCCGCACGGAGCATATATATCAGTGCACACATGCTTACAAAAAGAAAACAGCATTAAGGGTGTCTGAGCATTCACTGCTAGCTTCGGTTCTGCTGAATCTAGATGCAGCATGGCTAAAGAAAATTACTGCCCCACAGGTTTTCACTTACAGAAGAACACAGATACTCAACTACTCTTACTAGGGTATATATAGATTCAAACAATTGCACCTGACCAAAAAAAAAAAAGCTTACCGTAGAATATTGTGCATCCGCCCATTCCACACTAAGCGCCTACCCCTAAAATTTGAAATATCTGAAAAAATATGCACAGTACAAAGCTAGATCGAAAAGTTTTCGGAATGAAAATGAAACTAATATATATCTGATTTAAGTTATACTTTAGTTTTCAACATAATTCCCCCGAAGCTTGAGACATTTGGTCTAGCGTTTCTCTAGCTTTCCAATTCCCTTCTGGAAGTGACTTTCTTCAAGATCCCCAAAACAACTGTTCACAAGCTCCATCACCTCTTCATTTCACAGAAATTTCTTTCCAGCCAGGAAGGTCTTGAGCTTCGGGGATAGGTGAAAGTCCGAGGAAGCCAAATCAGGTGAATATGGTGGATGAGGAAGGATTTGGAACTTCAGTTCTGTCAGTTTTTCCTGAGCGACTGCACCTGAATGGGCGGGTGCTTTGTCGCGGTGAAACAAGATCTGTTTCTTGACCATTCCTAGGAGTTTTTTTTTTTTTTAATTACTTGTTTTAGCTTGTCCTGAAGTGTTATGTAGTATTGGCCAGTAAGAGATTTTCCTTTTTCAAAATAATTAATGAGCAAGATTCCTTTGTCGTCCCAAAAACTGATGCCATCACCTTGCCTGTCGACTGAAGGGTCTTTGCCTTCTTCGGAGCAGATTCACCGGGCCCAGTGCTTGTTTCGATTTAATTTTTGTTTCTGGCATGTAATAGTGGACCCAGTTCTCGTCCATAGTTACTAATCGTTGCTTTAAATCCGTTGGATTTGCCTGTAACACTTGCAAACTGTCGACTGCCGTTCGGGCTCGAATTGCTTTATGCTCCAGATTGAAAGAGTATGGCACCCATTTAGCAGAAAGTTTATTTCTTTAATCCCAATTTATTGTGTAAAGTATGAACAAACTCATTCAGAAGAGATTCCTGCTGCTTCCTGAATTCTTCTTCCAAAACCAATTGATGGATTTTATTCCCAATTTCTGATGTGGCAGCTGTTTCTGGACAACTTGAATGCGGTTCATCACTTGTGTCCGTACGACCACGCTTGAATTCGGAAACCCAAAAACTCCCAGTGAAAAACGAAGGTGATAATTCCCCAGAACAGCATTCAACCTGTATTTGACATCGGTTGCAGTTTAAATTTTTTCCTCCAAATAAAAATATTTGATAACCGCTCGTATTTCGTTTTGATTTATCATTAAAAATGTTCATGGTTGTTCGACTAGAATGCTTGTCAGAGCTAGACGTTTTGAGATATCAATCTGACATTTGTGGTAATTTTGTATGAAAGGGTTGCCAACACAATGACATAAAATATTTTGGAACAAAAAGCCTCCTAGCAGCAATTTTCGAAACTTTTCAATGTAACCTCGTACATATATATAGGTATGTAAAATGGATTACCACATGCGCCCATCCCCTATTTTTTTCGAGATTATTTTTATCAAACGTTTAGTGCACGCTTGCTCGGTATTTTACGGTAGGTCAAACTTAAAACATTGCCCACCCTGAAATTGTACACAGTAAGCCAGTTCCTTGTTATTTGTTATTACATCAATCAAACATAGCACTGATTTGTACACTACAAAATCAACTTTTTGCGACATAAAAATTCACAAAAAAAGCTTTATGGCACAATTTCCGCTGGTATTGCTCCTGTTAAAGTATGATTCAAACTTACCATATTTTTTCGAAACTAGGTCGACACCTTTATGAACAATGCCTGCGCGTCTATTTCTCTGCAACGCTCAAGATGAGCCAATCAGTGTGATTTACGGTAGATGCCCGGCGAATGACAAGGCACTGATAATGCTGGAATGCAGAAATGAGATCTTTGTGGATCACCCTTTTTAGTCTAAAAGTTATCTCTACTTCGCCATTCGTTGGCTCCTTTCGCAAGTCTTAATGATTGGTCAGTGGGTTCTGCAGGAAAGTAGACACACAGGTCTGCTCATAAAAAGGTCAACCTATTTTCGAACAAATATGGTATGTCCTGTCTCAAATACCGTCATAGATAGCAAAGATAATACTACATTCTAAGCTCATTACAACAGACCTGATTACAACAGACATGTGAATATAACATACCGATTTGTGAAGTTGGGTTGGTTTTCCTCTACATACCATTGACTCAGCTCCATATCTGCATACAACATACTCCTTTTACAAGAGACCAAAATCTTGGTCAAAATCAAGGTCTGTTATAACGAGCTTAGACTGTATTTAGTACAACTTGCATTCATATTTACCGCTGCTTGCTTCTGGCAGAGGACCAGGAGAAACTGCACTGTTGCCTCCTGGGTCTGGCGAGAAATCGTTGATTTAGTTGTCAGTAACATTGCATCACCACGGCGAGATAAATGCAAAAAAGAGAAAAAGGTTTTCACCGCTGGTTTCAAGGACGAATAGTGTAACGGCACACTTTTAAGCGAGTTGATGGATTGAGCCAGAACAGAGCCTTGGAGCCAGGATTTGCTGGTGGCACAGAGCTTCTTTCCAGCTTCCACTGATCCCTTCAAGAACCTAAATTAAAGACATATTCAATGATGACACGCATAAAGTAATTTGAGCACACCCAGTGCGTCCACCCGATTACATTAAAAACTCTTGGCCTTTTCCAGGCTTGCCAATACTATTTAACCCAAAGCCCCCGATTAACTTTAAAAAAGTATAAAACCACCAAATGACAACAGTTGTGTATCACTATATCAGGGGTGGCCCCGTGGACCCATTCAGAGAGCTATAAAACATAACAATTTTAATTGAAAAGCTGCAATAAAAATATGGCATGGCAGTTTTTTAAACTTCATTTTTTTTTGGCACACCAAATTACACTCATGAAGCACTCGCTCATTATGTTTCTTTGTTGTACGTCTCTATTTGTAAAATAAGCCATTCAAAATTCGGCTCAAATGACATTGTTGCAGTCCTGAGCAGCTGAGCAAACTGTTTGTTCGTGAGGGTTTTGATGTTATCACCTTTATTCTTGAGACAAATACCTTGCACTACTAGTACGTATGGTGGCACGGCTGCCGAAATGCAAGCCATCTTTAATTTTATCACTTTTTCCTTCTGATCTTACAGGGGGGAAGGGGGTGCAGCTTACCAGGGGACCATGAGCTGCACGTGAACCCGCAAAGAGCTGTATACAGCTCACGAGCTGCAGTTTTGCCACCCCTAAACTATATAAACAACAATGTCTTGTGAGCTCAAAATAAATTTTGTTACATTGGTTGGGTAATTAAGTAATATTTCATAGAAAATGTTGCCAAAACATTTTGCCCAAGCTCCCCAATAGCTAACTAAATTAATTGAGAATTCCACGTTTTCCCAATTGGAAAACATCCAAACACTAGGCGAATCAGAGAGTGGTCATTATTTTCCCCTTAGCAAGTAAACAACCCAAGCAGAGAAAACTGCAAATATAGTTATTTCCAAAATACACCCGGAGACCCCATACTACTTCAGACCCCACAGCAAACACCCAGAGGTGAGCCAGTCCTGAATTTGGTGCAGAGAACTATAATTAAAAACATACACATTGCTTCACCTGCCTCCATTGCAATGACTGCCTTTACTAGTACTTTACAAAAGAATGGCATTATTTTTACAGTAATATGGATAGAATCATAAAGACAGTGCGCCAACTGGAAAAGTCGGAGCTGATGAAGGAGTTTTATTGAGCGACCAAAATCAGTGCATTAATAAGATAGCTTCAATAAGTCGAATGTCAATCAATATTATAAAGGCAAGTTCTACATCTAGGTAATACTCCCAATGTTGCATATGTTAAAGTAAATTTTTCAAGAATGGTCTACAGGTAGACCGGAATTGCGTCATTGGTTGTTAACTTCTATAATTTGCGACAAGTCACAAAATGCATACTATCTTTTGGTGTGAAAAGCAGCAAAAACTTCTCTAGGCACTGGAAATCAACTCGATCAGCTGCAGACACACCACACTCACTTTCTGCATAGTAAGCTTGATGTGTATGCACCATTTAGTATACTACAAGTCATTGTACTAAATAGAGCATTGAACAACTTTCTATGCATCTCGAATAGGCAGACTTACGAAAAAGCAAAAATGGAATTTTGGGAACCCGCTCATGGCAACTTTTGTTTTTCTCTCCAGAAATGTTTATCATAATGCTACAATCACGAGTACAGCAATACCCCAGCACATCCCTCCACTTCTTTCCTCAAGATATTTGGGAATAAAAACAGGGTAAGTAATCTTTCAGAGCTTGGCATTAGTTCAGGATTTCAGATAGTAACAAAAAGAGGTGGAATACAGAATATAACTATTCGATATGTAAATAAAATCCTTACTTTTCTGCCTCAGAGAAGACCTTTCCCATGAGTGCAAGCCACCTGAAAACCTCTTCACACTTTTTTGACTCAAGAGCCAACACCGACGAAAGACTTTTCCAATGAGGAATGAGACGTTGGGTAAGCAATGGACACTCTTCCAGTATGCTAATTGCATGGGCTCGGGAAAGGTTGCTCTGTAGCAGGCACTGAAACAAGACATACATGTGTGATGTCGACCTGAAGTCTTTAAAGGCTTTTCTAAATTCCTTTATAAACAGCTATGATGTTTCTTGGGTTATGAGACCTATCACTGAGTCATGCAAATACTACTAGGGGCACTGAAGTCCTACAAGGGGAATGTACGGCACACAGTAAAAGTAACAGGGTTGAAGGATCTGGCAGCATGGTACAGCACACTTAAAAAGTGGTTAACAAGTACACAACCCTTTCAGGTTTTTAATACGGCACAAAAGCAAAATGGAACATGCTAGCAGCCATTGTTCCCCAAGCCTGCTTGCGTGATATCGTTTTGGTAATATACAGGGTATTTCATCAACTGAGAATACTTTTTTTTAAAGAAGGGCACTTAAAGGAATAATTTCTTTGGGAAATGTTATCCACTGTGGTGGACATTAGGTAGAAAGTGTAGTGATTATTAGTAAATTAATTACCTAAAATTCACTAATTACCTTTTGAAATATTTGCCTTAGCTGGTACATTCCAGTTAGAAAATGTGTTAGATCTAGTCAAGTATGTTGCTGGGCTAGTTGGTGCATTTCAATACAAATAAAATAGCACCTGTCCTGTCTTGCTTGTATTTCTCTTATACAGTATAAACTCGTTACAACAGACCTGGTTAAAACAGATATTTGGATATATCATACTACTTTCTGAAGTTTGTTTAGTTTTCCTCTGCTTTCTGAAGTTCGGTCAGTTTTCTATCTGTACCATTGGTTCAACTTCGTACCTGCATACAGCATACATACTCCTTTTACAACAGACTGAAATCTCTGTCGTAACAGACACAAAAGTCTGTTATAACGAATTTAGACTGTATATACAGAAATTTGTTGTCCATCATCAAATAACAACTAAATTACTAAATTCTGGTCCGTGCTACTTTCTGGCGAAGTTAAGCTGTCTAGAGTTTGCCATACCAAAAATAATGGCAGAAAAGTGCCAAAAGCTGCATGCCCGCCCAAGACAGCACAGTGTGGCTAGCTTTTTCTATAGCCACATAAGCTGATCAACCTCGTGATGACGCAGCCCCCACTGTTGCAGAGGCTGATGCCACTTCCATGTGGGACTTCCATCACTCTTTTTGCATCTCGATTCAATATCTCAGTTTACTCACAGCTTAAATTTGCCAGAGACTACCGTAAAGCAGAATTCACAAACTTGTAGTGTTGTGCGACTATTTGAAGAAATAGTAGTTTTGAATAATATGCTATTCAATATTCACTTCGAGATGAACTCTGATATTCGTTTTTTCAAAGTTTTGACTGCAACAGGTTAGCCCCATTGAGCACGCTTCTTACCGAGCACCGGAGCACTGAAAAGAAACAACATCCGCAGAGCTCGCTTCCGCGGGTGTCGCTTCTCCTCAGTGCACCAGTGCTCGATAAAAGGTGCGCTCAACGGGGCTAACGCGCCGCAACCAACACTTTGAAAAGTACAAACACTGCAATTGCGTGTTCAGGAGTAAAGCCCACTTTCAAAGCAGGATGGTGCATGCACACGCCTGGCGTACTGTAAAATACAGGGGGAGTGCACACTCCACTTTCACTGAAAACTGAGTTAATGTAGACATGGGGGCTTGTCCGGCCAAATTGGGCGCTTAGCATATAATTTGCAAAGGTTTGAAGTTTTGGAAATGTGAAAAATGGGCGCTTGAACGAAGCGCGCGCTTCCGCGTATCTTATGGAATGTAAAAAGAAACGAAAACTGTGAATTTTGATATATAGACTATAGCAAAAGTTCCAAACTTAAACTGTGGCTATTACGCAAGGGTATATGCTAGGCAGGGATGTCCCGACAACCTATGTTCATAATTCATGATTGCCTTCTTTTTCATTTTCTCAAATTCTAGATTAAAGGAAGGATATTTGTACATAGCAAGATTTATAAATCCCTTCAATTAGGTATAGCTGGGCATCTTTATAGGCTTAATTTCTTGTTAAATGCTTTGTTTACTTGCCATTCCAATGTAGGCAATGGACTCTCTAAGGTCACACGCCATAAATATAGCTAGATTATAATTAACTTCGCTTAGAAACAAACAAGTGGAACCTTGGGAACAACCTTTGCGAGTTTAGATGGGTTTTCGTTTAATTAAGCGTAGTGCAGCAGCGAAAGGCTTGGAAAAATTATCCGATATTCAATTAAAAAATATTTGGCCAAAACCACTATTTGCTTCGAATCCACTTCAAACTCAATATTCGCACACGCCTAGAATTTGGTTGTCTGAATTCTCAAATTTGGGGATTTTATATGCCAAACCAACGAAGGGCATCTGGCACGCCCCAGCGGAAGAGTGAGGATTAATTTGAACAACCTGGGAATTTTTATACGTGCGACCTAAGGCTCGTTACACGGTTCCTTCTCTGCAATAATGTGCGTTTCACGTGCTGCGATTTTTACTCTTAGAGTGGCGCGATTCCCGCCGCCGCGTTGCTCTGGCCAGCCGCAGCGGCAGAGCGGCGCGGTTCCAGAAGATTGGAAATTTTTCGTGGCGGCAGAGCGGCAGCATCTGCACTGGCAACTCACAGCATGGTAAAGAACCACGTGACAGAAGAAGCTTGGCGGGAAAGCTTGCACATGGGATGGCGTTTTAACATTTTGCAAGCAGACGATATGGAGAGAAAGTATGCAAGCGACTGGTTTGTGGTTTTCTTTTTCAATTTCCATTGGCGGGTTCAGCTTTTTTTGGTTCAGTGGTCGCGTCGGAACTGTTCGGGAAATCGGGGAGGGGATTGTTTTCCCCTTCCTCCCAATATTTTGCAAGGAATGTCTGAAATGTTTGGGCATATCCTAGTTTTAGGCCAATTGCCTCCCCTGTTCCAACACTGCTTGCCATGGAACTGTGCTTGCAACGTAAAGTTCCCTTTTCCTCTTTCCCTTTGTGTCCGAACCTGTCCATATTGCCATTCTTGGAATTTTGGTGTTAAGTGTTTGAGAGTTTCTTGTGTCGTCGTGTTTCGCCTCCTCGTGAACACATATCTCCATATATATTTTGACTTCGAAAGCGGCCACATCTGTTGGTGTCTTTCCAACCGAGGTTTCACTCTCCGCGACAGCAAACTTTGAAAAGTAGATGAACAAATAAAACTAAATTCGTTTTGTGCTTTGAATGGATATTTAGTTTTAATAAAGTAAAAAGAAAAAGAAAACTGAAATCTAAGGCATTCAGGTTGTTATTCACATCCGCTTGCTGCAAGCAGCGTTGGGCATTGCAGCGGCAGAAAACGCTCATGGATGACACATGTGACATGAAACCTTGTGATTTGTGCCGCACCACTGCTAGCAGGAGTGATTTTGGCCGCAGAACCGTTACACGTGAAACACACATAAGCCTCCATCAGGTCGCAGGCACCTCAGCCGGAATTGTTGTTAGAATTCTAACAGATATGAAATATTCTCACAACTAACACAGCTCTATGTGAAACGTGCCAACTGAGGTGAATATTTCAAAAGATAATTAGTGGATTTTAGGTAATTACTAATTTGATAATTATCACACTGCACTGGCAGCATGACATCTGCCGCTGTCGATAATGTTATCCCGAAGGAATAATTTCTTTATTTCAAGTGCCTTTTTTTTTTATTACTCTCATTTGTTGGTAAAGCACCCTGCATACTTCTCGTATAAAAATTTTGCAACACAATTAATAACATTACAAAATTCCCAGAGTCAAGTTCTGTCTCAACCAATAGAGAAAGAAAAAGAATGTTAAAACAAATATGCCCGAGGAACTTTAATATAAAAGAGACTGTATTCTAATTTACAGTCGTCATCAACAGTACTTAATGCTCAAAACAAACATTACTCCTCATGCTTGAAGAGGAACCTCTTAAAAGCTTCTCTAACAGTAGTTGATACTATTTTGCAAACAAGCTTATTAGCTTGCTACGGCTATAGTCACTGACAGAACGACAAGGAGGAACCTTCGGTTGTCCAGCATGAGCTTCCTACCTTCTACAATGCTTCGGCACCTCGTGCCATCTCGAGCGCATGCGCGGACAAAGCAGAGGCGGATTTGGGCGGCGGGGACGTGACCGTTCCCTTCTTCTAAGGACCCAGAGGTCAACTTTTTTTTATGAAAAAATTTATATACACCAGCCAAAAGTTTACATGTTGGTGACATAGGAAATATTATTGAGTCAACAAAATAGATCTGGGCAAAGTTTCGGTCGTAATGTCATAGATCTGGGCAACGTTTCGGCCGTAACGTCAGATCTCAGCAGACCCATAAATCTGCCCCTGGCACAAAGCACGCCGGAAGGCATGGAGCGCGCACTGGAGGCCGGGCGTCCCAAAGACGCACACTGCCGTTCTCACTCTGTCAGTGACTACAAGTCCAACAATGGGTCAGCTGGGAGAGATGAGAGAGGATGCCCTGCAGTGGCAAACAATAGGAACAGTATCTCATTGATGAACCATGATGAGCCAAGAAACTTGCACACCTTTTTCCAATAACTCAGACTATTATATACTATGTGTCATGTCTATAGTTATGTGATAGTTTCATTCAGCAAGCCAAATGCATGATACTCAAAGTGTACACTTTGCAATCAGTGTTTTGAGACAGGAACCTACTATGTTATACCTCTCAGTGGCATGAGTGCTTTTGTGTAACCCTCTGAGCATATTGTTCTTCTTCTTACAGCTGTCCTCCATTTTCATTTCTTCGTCATTATTACTGGTCGATAGAAACTGCGCTCGTGCTGCGCCCCTCGAGGTCGGACATCACACTGAGGTAGTGCGATTGTGCAATAAATGGCGAGCAGTCGATTAATTAAGGGCTCAACAAAACCATGACATAGACAGTACCTCTTTAGTGGGATGTTACAAACTACACGCAGGAAAGCATGCTGGCAACAAGCTCCACCAGCCACTAGGTGGCTACTTGGCCAGTCAATGCCTGGATGAACCACATCTCCTAATTGACAATTTTAAAATCACAGATAAATTAATACTAATGGAACGTAGCTCTCTTTTCTTTTTTTTTATACTTTGCAGCTGCAAAGTGGCCCCTAAAAGGTATAATGTGTGCAAGCAGTAAAGGATAAGGTTACCCTGAACAGATGAAGTATAAGGCCCGGACTTTCCTCCTCAGTGCACAGGACCTGTAATACAATTTTGAGAAATCAACAACTGAAAAATGGACTACTATGAGATATACCCAATATGTGACAATTCAAAGATAGACATTTAGAACTACCATCTTATAGATTATCTATGCATGGCAGAACCTATAAGCAGGATACGCAGAAGAAAGCTGATATTACAGCCATGCATCAGGTTAAATCTCCAAGATGGCATCACAGCATGATATGCCTGGCTCCAGCATCAGCCTGACACATGCCACACCAGATGGCATCCTATTGCTAAATTTAAGCACTCTGAGCCAAGGCTACTCTATGATTTCTTTGGTTCAAAATGAGAACAAACTTGAAGTGGACTTGGAAGAGAACGACGAGAAAAGAGAAAAAGTAAGATCAGAAAAAGAGGCACCACCAAATAGCGAGACATACTAAACAGATGTTTAAAAGTAACCAGTGAGTTCGTAGAGAAATTTTAGAGAACATTACAAAACTAATGGCAAAAAAATTCAAACATACCATCTGAAAAATATATGAATTTGTTTGTTGACAGCTTTGGCGTTATCTAGCAAGCTGAAAGCAAAACACTCTGTGTACTACCATCCACTTTTTTTTTTTCAAAGAATGAAGTCTAAGGGCAGAAAGAATTGCTATTCCTGCTCGTCTTTTCACTGAGGTAGCAGCAAGCTATACAACCTGCGTAAGCTCATTTTCACAATGAATGGCAGCAGCCTTAAATGAAGCATTCTAATTCAAGATGACAACATCAATCTTCATTGTGGTACTACTACAATATGAAACTACAAAGTGCATCAATAAAAACAATCAACAATAAGCCCGAATGAAAACTTGAACAATGTGAAACCTTATGGGTTTCTACAGATTAGTGACTTAATAGCTTTTTGAAAGATTTCTATAGTTCTTAGTAGAACATTTGAGTTATATCGCAAATTGAAATTAGAGATGAAACTTACAAGAAACTTGTTTATAAGAGACGTAAAGAGTGCCACCGATTCGGATGATGGACAATGATCAGCCCTGTTCACGAGCAGACAGTATGGAGGCAAGTGGCAGTAAATCCTGTAAAGAATTGAGCATACTACCATTATGACTAATTCCAACCAATCGCAGGCAAACTGAGGGACACACAACAGACAGCCCGACAAATTTAAATATGATTTATACTCTATATCATGGTTGCTATAAAGGGTCCACTACTCTGCATAGCATGGTGGTAAGAAGGAAGTGTTAAGATTGGCTGGTTAAACAAGCAGTTCACTTTCTAATTATTCAACCTAATTGTAACGGATTTATGAACTAATTGATTGATCGGAGTTTTATAATGTTCTCTAAAGCAGAGGAAAGGCTACATGAAGCTTTCTTTTCCTTTCATTCGCTCTTCTACTGCCAAGGTTCTTATGTTGTTTGCAGTAATTCACTTCACTTTCACAAGGTCCTAATAAAAACAAATACCTGTCCTTACTGCCCACAAGAATGAGGTAGGTTAAGCTTGTTAGGACTAAAGAAATTGCCTCAATTAAGGTTTCTCTGTGTATGCTACCAAATGCTACTCTTTGTAGTACAGTGAACTCTCATTAATTCAAACTTGCGGATAATTCAAACTAAAATACAGGTCCCATCCTATGCGTATCTATAGGAGGAAACTCCCCATCATTCAAACTCTGCTTTATTCAAACAAATTTTCGGCCCCCTTCGAGTTTGAATTAACAAGATTCGACTGTACATATTTTTTACTATGACATAAGGGCTGAACCTTTGACTCTTCCCTGATGCACAAAGCAGACAATATAAAAGATGCTTTCAAGATAATGCATGTGCCAGCTACATTAGCTCTTTGCAAGCGCTTGTTTAGTTTGGCAAGAATGATTACCAAAAGACAGAAACTACCATCTTGCAGAGAACACCAGGACGCTTTTGTGTGCGCAACTAGATCAAAAGGTTGCAAGCTCGCTGCATTGGAAACAGGCACTATCTGGGTTTAAGTTAATTCTATGCCCCTATGCTTGTGTATCGCTAAATTGTAACGAGTGAAAATCGTTTGTACACCTCACCGTTATGCTGTAAATAAATGATGTCAGAAACAGTCATTTTGAGATATACTTGCAAAGCGATAATATAATTGACTAATCAGATAAAAATAAAAATAACTTGTTTGATATTTTTAATAGTTAATATTTCTTGATAAAATCTAGCAAGGGATGAACAATTTGGTTCACACTGTAGATTAATAATATAGCCAGTGCAGTATCACTAGGGTCTTTAGTGTGCATCATGTGGTAGTAATAACAAAACAGTACACTAATACATTGCTCATCCAGATCGAAATAGGCAGGTGCTGGGATTGAACTTAGGGAATGACTCCTGGGTTCTGCAGCGGGAATTTTCCTGCTACTGACCTGAAAAACCTCAGTGACTCTTCTGCCTGGTCCGCTGAACCTTTGGATAATTCAAACCCTTGGGTCAGTGTCCTGGTTGCAATGGGCACAGTTTCATCTTCTAAGGCTGAAGCTGAACTCAAGAAAAGGTTCTGCAAAACGTTCGATGACAAATTTAAAGGTAATGCAAAAAAAACATTGCATAGTTACATAAATCATATGCAATATTATGCAACACGTAGTAGAAGGAAAGAGAAGCATTCTCCAGAGTGCTTCACTTTCCTTTCGTGTACAAGGTGCCCTTTACACATTGTTGCAAAAACCAGGGGTTCTCAAATTGGGTTCCGCGAGTTGGTCTCATGGGTTCTGCAAATACCCAAACCTACAACCCCCCCCCCAACCCCCTAGTTTAACCTTCTACGGACACAGCCCTGGATTGAGTTGGTGTTGCGGGCCAAGCAACCTCACCCTCCACACTAATATGTATATATATTTTACATGCGAAAATTTCTAACTGGGACCAGTTGGCACCTCAACTGGTTTCAACTGGGACTAACTGGTACCAACTGGGAATCAACTGGGACCAATAGGAGTCCAACTGGGACCAGCTGAGGGCTCAACTGGTTTGAAACATTTTCAGTTGGGAGTCAACTGGTTTGAACCATTCCCAGTTGGGAGTCAACTGGTTTGAACCATTCCCAGTTGGGAGTCAGCTGGTTTGACTCCCAGTTGGGAATGGAGTGAACTGGGACCAGTTAGGAAAGTAACTGGTTGGAGCGATTCCCAGTTGGACTTCAAATGCCTTTCCCGTTCCCAGTTCACACGGGGCAACAATTTTGACAAGTTGGGGTTGAATTGACCTTTGCTAATAAAGAAAACTAAAAACACATACATTTTTAGATTTATATAAACAGGGAATTTTTTAATTACTGGGTACATTTATATATTTATAAAAATAATATAAAAATTTTAATTAACAAAATATTTTTTAATTGGAAAATATAATTAGTGACAAAATGTGTTCACCTAAATGTACATTTAGTGCATCATTAAAATATATTAAAACATTTATTTAAACACCTACAGTATTTTTTTTCTTTTTTCTTTTAATAAATAAATTTATCTTTTGGCCAATCAGAGCTAGCCGGCCGCCGTGGCACGCGGGTGCGGATTAGTGGTAAGCGCTGTCGACAGATGGCGCTGCCTATGCTGACGCCGGAGTTGCCGGAGTCGGACGGACGCGGTAGAGAAGGGTCGCCATCGCCCAAGTTGGCATCGTTATGAAAATGTCAAAACTACAGCTGCGCTTCTTTGGACCTAACAGTACCACACACCATGGTGGCGGCGGTGAACTTCGAGGATGGAAATAGATGCAGTTCAGCGATCGGAGGGCACCCAGGAAAGACCGGACGGAAGAAAACGCCGCGGACAGCACAATGGCGAAAATGGCGGGAGGTCTACCTCGAAAATGTTCGACTGTTGTGACAGAGATTGCAAGGTGGGAGCGCGCTACCGCATCTTATCAGGACTTCACCTGCGCAACGCGGGATCACGGGTGAGCACCTTTCTTCACGCGATGGGGAGAGAAGCTGAGGACGTCTTCACTAACAGACGCCAGCGGCCGATCTTCCTTCATCTCGCGAATACTAGCTACCTCTGAAAAAGCGATTCAACCGTCGCAAGCAAGTGGCTAAACCCGGAGCGTGTACGTCACCGAACCTATTATTTAGTTTCATTCTTCAAGTTTTTGACAATAAAGTCTTGTCATCCTTCCATTTTGTGCCGTGTTTCATTGCTGCTGGAGTTGGTACCAGCGGTAACTGGGACCAACCTCAACTGGGACCAGTTGTCACTGGGACCAATTCCAACTGGGACCAGTTGGACAACTCCAACTGGGACCAGTTGCAACTGGGAATTGTTCCATAAACCAGTTGCAACTGGGACCAATTGGTCCCAGTTGAAAATTTTTGCCTGGGAGGTTAATCCCTCTGCCTTCTTATTTTCTTATTCTGTCTGTAGTCCTCCATTTTGTCTTGTTCTGTCAGTGCAATAAACTTTTGTTCACTATCTAAATGCCTTTATTGCCCTGTATGATCGATTGGCAACAAGGGAGGGGGGGGTGTTCTTTGGGACTTTTTGAGGCTTGCTGGGGATCCCTGGGACGAACAAGTTTGAAAACCTCTGACATGAACTATGCTCAAGATAAGCTCAGCATCTCTAATAAAATCAAGGTCAATGAATGTTTTATACTAGGTACTACAACTACTCAAAACCTTCCCAAATTTATGTGGAAAACTTATAAAACTTTTATAAGAAACTATTTAATCTTCTACTAGATTATTCCCCGTATGCTTGAAATGGACTCCACGACATCGCTGTCGGCAACTAAACAAAGTACTACGGGAAAAGCTTGCAGTTCTAGTGGTATCACTGGCGAGTTTTTGTTTGCTGCCAAAGGGCCATACCTGCAACAAGATTTGCAGCTGAGCGCTGTTAGGAACCACTGGGTGCCGGTGAACCAACACCTGTAGAATGCTGAAGCACATGTCTCTCACACCAGCACTGTCGCTCACAAGCTCGAGGTAGTCCCTTCTGAAATTAAATTTATCGCAGCCAATCCAGAAGAGATACAATACAGTTGCCATAGATACAAGAGATAAAAACACTTGCCATAGATGTAAAGCCAAACAGCTGGCTGGAATTGTCTTTTTACCAAAATATTTAGCATACTCACTACAGTCCAATAAAAAAAAACAAAAAAAAACACTGACACATGCTAGTTAGCACACGAGTAAGACATTTTTTATAACATTGAAAAAAGAGAAACGAAGGTATGTATTGTTGGACTTAGTATGTATGCACTGAATCCTAGACAAAGGAGTGTTACAATGTATATTAAAAGGATAAAAAAGGGCCCTAAACCTGGTTTGACATTGAGGAACATTGAACAAAATCTTACTAAGTGGAAAAGGAGTCAATTGCAGTGTTAATCAATTTGTAAAGAAACACCATGTCACAAACTAATTGCCTTAAGGAAAGTGGCAAGAGTCTAAAAGTTTCCAACAAACGTGAATAATCATAATACATTGTTGTCTGATATGGCGATCATACACATGAATGCACATAAAATTCATGCAACAAAAACAAATCTTGTATTGAAATCAAATAGGATTGAACTATAGGCCATTCACACGATCATACAATATCAGATAGAGAACATCAAGAGAAGGCTATTGAAGATTAAGGGGACATGCACCAAGAGAAAACATTTTCTTCATTATCTACGATAACTGAATGAAAGTTTCAAAGTTTGTAGTGTTTGATCTACTAATTATATATTTGATGTTCATTTTGATATACCGTATTTACTCGCACAATGAACGCACTCGCGTAATGAACGCACCTCCCAAGTCGGCTGTCGAAATTTCGACTTTTTTTTTCACTCGCGTAATAAACGCACCCCCAACTCGGAGGTCAAAATTTTGACCCTCTCCTCCCACGCGCGCGAAATGAACGCACTTTTCTATCCTGGTGCAGCGAGGTCAGCGAGGTCGCGAATGCATGGGCAGCGTGGTCGAACAAAACGCCTTGCAAAAGACGTTAAAAAAATTCGCAAAGATCCAACGGAAGCAAGAAAAAAAACATGCGAGATGAGCTTTCTTTTTTTTTTTTTTTTTTTTTGAACAGCGCAGTCTGGACTTTGGGTTCGCGCGCGGCCCCACGCAAGGAGGTAAGAAAGAGAAGCGGAGAAGCGCTCTAAGCGAACGAAACAGCTTGCGAAAGGCGGAAAAAGAAAGAAAAGAAATCCACGGAACTAAAAGAAAACAAAAATAAACGAGCTTTTCTTTTTCTTTTTTTGCACACCGCAGTTTGCTTATGGGGGGGGGGGGGGGGGTCGTGCGCCGCGCGCAAGGAGGTAACAAAGAGGAGCGGAGAAGCCCTCTAAGCAAACGAAACAGCTTGCGAAAGGCGGCAAAAAGAAACAAAAAAAACAACCCACGGAACTGAGAAAAAAAACAAGAAAAAGATGAGCTTATTTTTTTTCTTCTTTTCTTTGCATGGCCCAGTTTGGTTACTGGGGGGTCCTGCGTCGCGCGCCGCGCGCATGGAGATAAGAAAGATAAGCCGAGAGCCCTCGCCTAAGCAACACCTAAGCAAACAAAACAGCTTGCAAAGGCGGCAAAAAAAAAAAACCCAAGGAACTGAGAAAAAAATAAAAAGAGGATTTTTTTTTTGCACGGCTTAGTTTGGTTATGGGGTAGGGCGCCGCGCGCAGAGAGATAAGAAGTTACTTCGATTTTTCAGGATAAAAGGTCCGTTCATTATGCGAGTAAATAACCGATGCAAAAATTTTACTTCGCGTAATGAACGCCCCCCCCTAACTTTGCATCGATTTTTCGGAAAAAAAAGTGCGTTCATTCTGCGAGTAAATACGGTAGCTTGTTTTTTATGTTCTGGATGCAATGCACACGCAGAAAAAAAACATGTTTCTGGAGACATGTGGGGCATGACAACACACTTAAAAGAGTCCAGTAATATAAGCTAATTTGCTCCTTTTAAACTATCAAGTGCAATTAACAAAAACAATGTATGCAACACCTATTTTATTTTAAAATTGAAAATCGCAAAAACACTCTTTTCAAAAAGCTAACAAAGGTTTCCCTACATTTTTCATAAATATAAAAATATACATTCTAACCAAACCTTGATAGTTGCATTCTACATATTCTAAAGTTTAGGCATGACAACTTTGGTTGTGATAGAACAATATTAAGAACAAAAATCATTGTGCACAAACTGTGAAGATGCCCCAAGATTACATAGAGAAAATATGTTTGAATAGATGTGTAGCGATGCTCTTTCGCAACGGGAAAAATAATATTTTGTTAATCATTTTCGGTGAGAAATTGAAGCTACAGAAGACTGCAAATGGATAGGAGACAGGTAGGCCTACTTCTCAATGATGGCGAGCGACGTCACATTTTGAAAAACTGCACTCAGAAAAATGGCTTAAATTTATGCCATTCTGGGTTGCCGGGAGGTCTTCAAATGTGTATTTGACTAATTGTGTGATCATAAACTACTTATTACTTTTATACATAAAATATAGATTCAGAGATAATCCCCAAAATCATATTTTTTTTTATATTTGTCGACCCACATCTCTCCTTGAATGCATTTTATTCTCATAGGTATGTTTATTCTCCCTGATGTCTCACTCATTTGACAATGTTTTTATAGCACAATCATAGCACATATCCAGACGTAGAATCAGTGCCTTACCGGAGAGCAATTGGTGAAAGACTGTTCTGGTTGTCAGAGATCCCAGATTCCAGCTCTACCCACTCCAGGGTGGTAGGCTGGAACAATGTAATCATGTGGATTGCTCAAAGACAAGCAATTTACCATGCCTTGAATACGAAGGAAGAGCATATACCTTTGCAGATTGTAGCCAGTCTTTTATGGGAGAGAGCTTGCACTGCTGGAAGGTGGCACAACATTCTTGATATTCGAAAAGCCCACTCTCGCTTCTTCGTAGAAGAAATTGAAGCTGAAAAAAGTTATGTATGCACTACAGTTAAACATACGTAGACAGTACCAGAACATTGTTGTTCCAGCCAAGAAAACAAGATTTTAAAAACAAATGCCCAAAATAGAAGCTTCAAAAGTTCTGACTACATGTGTCAAACCATGGTTCTGAGAGTGGCTGCTGAATAGAGGACTTTTGAAAACTCCCATTTCCTTGTATTGAATAAAGACGCACACTAAAGGATCTGTCTTACGCATTAGGCATCTATCAACCCAATACCTTTTTCAGCAAAGTCAAAGGTATGTAAGCTGGAGCCAATGTCACTCCTGCAAGCTTGCCAGCCAGGTTCAGGTACATGACTGCAATCCTATAAGAAACAAGACACAATTTATAAAATAAAAAACCTCATGTGAAAATGCTACACACCTACCACCAAAGACTGATACTTGCACTAACCAAGTAATACTGACGAGGACAAAACTTTCACCTTGTCTGATGTATTTTGTCTCTGGTACAGATGTCTCACATACCATATTTTTATGACTCTCAAGTAAAGCAGAGAGGAATATATTATGCTTTCTAGGCCCATTTGCTATTTTGTACATGCAAATGGCTGATCTGGACAAGTGAGCCCTTAATTTATTCACATTAGCTATACAAATACGTCCTTCATTCAACCAGTTACCACGAAAAAATTGTTCTTCGAGTTCAGATAAATGAAATTGAATATCCATTGAGTCACAATTTGTAATAGATCTTAAATATAACTAGGGTTCCCTGTTTTCGGAGTTTATTCATCGTCGAATTTGGAGGGTGTTTTTCGGAGTTTATTTTTTGCCGAAGGTTCGGAGTTTATCGGAGTTTATATTTGTTTGATTCACAATTCTCAGAAATTTGGAGTTTAATTTCACAGTGTTTCCTATTAAAAATAAATAAATAAATAATAACCGGATGTAAACGTATCCCAGATAAAAAATATAATGCGCTTTTATCAATTAAAATTTCTTCAGTTGAATTTGGCGTTGGTGCCATTGCCATTGGCAATACTGATTTGACCCCCGACGAAAGTTGCGCAGAAGAGTTGCTTCGATAAACGTCGATACCTTAAAATCAATAAATTCCCGGAGGTAGTCACTAAGAAGCTCGTAGTCATCCATCCTATTCCATCAATCTAGCCTGCGACCGCGCGAAGTGGAGTGGTTAAGGATGTAATAGAGAAGTTTCAACTGCCCCTCTCCCCTATTTTATACAATCTGTAGGTCCATAGCTTTCATCGTTCCCTCCCTCCCTCTCCCTGCCCCTCTCCTCTCCTCTCCTCTCCTCTCCCCTCCCCTCCCCCCAAAAAACATACCCTCTCCTTTCTCTAAGACAAAAATTGCATGACCGAAACTGAAAACCAAAGGAGTGGCTTTTGTCGTGACCCGAATGTACAATGACCTGTTACCCTCAATCAACCTTGAAGAGACAAGTGGTAAGACCCCTTTTGACAACGGTCCGAGATTTGGAAGAGAATTATGATTGCATTTTCCCAGGACCATTAACCCTGCGCTTATCAAATTGCAAAAAAAAAAAAGAAAAAAAAAAAAAAAAAGATCTTTTTTTTTTTTGGGGGGGGGGGGGGGGGTGGCATTGGTACATAAAAATTTGGAGTTTATTGGATAAATCGAAATAGACAAAAATTTTACCGGCGGGTGTTTTTCTGAGTTTTTCGGATTTATCCTAAAACACGGAACTGTAAAGAACCGTTCACACTATTGCGACCGAGTAAGACCGAGAGAGACCAGACCGGTTTTTAAGCCTTTTGCGACTCCTTAGGACCGGATGCGCTGCAGCGGAGCTGGTCCTAAAGATCGCAAGAGGCTTAAAAACCAGTCTGGTCTCTTTCGGTCTAACTCAGTCGCAAGAGTGTGAACGGGTCTTAAATATAACTAGGGTTTCGTGTTTATTTTTTAAGTTTATTTTTCGTCCAAATTGGTGGGTGTTTTTCAGTTTATTTTTTGCCGAAAGTTTGGAGTTTATCAAAGTATATTTTTGTCAGATTCCCAATTTTCAAGAAATACAGATTTAATTTGTCACTGCATCCTATGATTCAAGAAATACAAATAAATAATATCCAGGTGTAAACGTCTGCTAGACTAAAAAATTGCACTTGTACTAAATATTATTTTTTCAGATCGATTTGGCGTCGGCACCCTTGCCATCGGCAATTCTAATCTGTTTCACAACAAAACTTGCAAATAAGTGTTGCTTCGATAAAAATCAACACCTTAAAATCACTGAACTCCAGAAGGTAATTGTTGGGAAGCTCGTTTTCATCCCACCCTATTCCATCACATGACCTAGCGGCTCCACGGGATAGAGTGGTAAAGGGTGTAATATAGAAGCTTCTCCCCTCTATGAAATCTCTATGGTTCATAGCTCCCACAAAAACAGAACCCCTCCTTCCCCTAAGAAGTTCAAATAGTATGGTCCAAACGGAAAACCAGAACAGTGCCTTTTGTTGTGATCCAGAAGTACAATGACCTCTTGTCATGAATGAACCTTGACGAGATAAAAGGTAAGACACCTTTTGTCAATAATCAGAGATTTTAAGGAAAACTGGGGTGGCACTTCCTCAAGACCATCGACCCTTTGTGCTGACCGAACTTAAATTGTGGAATACTGTTTTATCGACCTTTGGGGTTAATTCATATAAATCCGAATAGACGAAAATTTCACCGGCGGGTGTTTTCCCAAATTTTTCGGATTTCTCCGAAAACTCAAAACCCTAAATATAACATATTTTGTTTTGTCTTCCCTAAGTTTAGGTTGATTTCTTCCTAGCTTATTGTGAAATTGCCGGGTTTAACAACCTGCAAGTTCTCGCATACAAGATCTGGAGGGTGCAAGGATAAATCTAGAACACCACATTATTCATTCAGTAACAGACTGGAGCTCAGCTTAATAAATGAGAGCCAGACAAAGGGTAGCAACCTGAATGATTGCATTCTGAATAGGGCTGGGCAAATGATCGATTAACCCACCGATTAATCGATTAATGCTTTAATCGCGATTAATTTGTTTAACCGGTTAATCGGTAAAATTTTGACAAACCAAAATTTAAAAAAAAATGAAACGCTTTCACTATACAGACATGGAGGAGCACACCTATATGAAGTGAAAAATTTAGGTGAAATATTGACTTAAGGTAAACTGTAAGGGGGAGATTTGTAGCTTCAGACAAGTGCAGAAGGTTTTCACATGTCCCAGCGACTTCAACGCCGTGCGAGTGTCCATTTAGCGCAGCAAAGACTACCGGGAGAAATCAAAGGAGGCCGTCCTTTTTGGAGAATATCAACAAACATTTTTGCCTCATGGAGCTGAAGTAATAATATTTGAGTGTGAGTGTTTCTTAACTGTTCTGAACTGTATATTGAAGCTGACTCATAATTGAAATTATTGCGTCGTTTAACACATATTCAGCGAAAAATAAATGAATAAAATAGATGCAATTTTTACTTTTGAACAATATCATTATGCATGGAAATGAACGAGACCGATTAATTGATTAATTAATCGATTAAATGCTAACGATTAATCGTGTTAAAAGTTTTAATCGACGCCCAGTCCTAATTCTGAAGTATCTTAACTCTTTCCGTACCATACCCATTGGCATAGTACGGCTTTCACGCACCGCCAAAATTCGAATTTGGCGCACAGGAACATGTGCCAACTCGTGGAAGAACTACAGCATCGGTTTTAACTTCATTTTGAGATTTCTCCCGCGCTGGTGAGCTATCGGAAATAAATCCGCGCAACGGTGGCACATGGCGTCCTGCTGACATTAGGGACCGCTACCAAGGTAGCCTCAATCGCACAATTTAACTGTTTTGCTGCTTGATTTTTGGATGACAGCAGCAGCGAGGACTGTGGGTGATGTTGGATCATTTGATATGAGCGCCTACAGCGATGCTTCATCTCCGAGGCGCAGAATATCGACAGGTGCTCACTGGAGAGTGTCGTTCTAGCTTTCTAGGCTGCCGAGGCACGAAAGAAACACCAGCAGAGTAGAAATTAGAGCAGTGACATAACAAACCAAAATATCTGCAAAAAAAAATGTTTTTTCTGGAGGATATGCATTTAGAGGCAGACGTAGCATTTTGCCGCCCTAAGCAGCCTTCAACAGTGCAGCCGCCGCACCCCCCACCAACCCCAACCCCCCTCCCCATGGTGGGGGTTGGGGGGGGGGGGGGGGGGGGGAGAAGTAGCTGAATTGGAGTTAAAATTTACAGAAGTAGCTAGATATAGAGCCAGAATTCCCAATGTAGCTAAATTCAAAACTAGACTAAAAAATTAAAAAAAAGATTTAATTAATTTGGGGGCAGCCACAAAATGGGCTGCCCCCAAAATTCTGCCGCCCCAGGCAGCTGCCTACTCTACCTATTCGTAAGTCCGCCCCTGCATGCATCTTGACATATGCAACAGCGTCTCTGAATGACATGATGCCACAGAAGGACACTTAACGACAAACCAAAAAAAAGACAGTATCAGCTACAGCTCTCTAACTTACAGAAACATAGGGGCACACTTTGTATATTTGGGATTTTTAAAAACCATAGTAAGATTTATTATAGCCACAAATGTTTAGACTTTTTTGTTCCAATTTTTGCACAAATTACAAGTTCAGCATTTAAATGTGACAAACTTTTTTCAGACATTAGTGTAAACCTTTTTTGACAGGAAACGCCTTTCATTTTTGTCGGTAAGGGGGTCACTTGCTAAAACTGCATGTAATGAGAACATGTAACACAAATATTTATTAAATCTTTGCAGCTGCACTTTACCCCCTGCACTTTACTTTGGTATCACTGTGTAGAGGAAAGAAACCATTACTCGATCACACATGTGTTGAGTGCGCAGACAATGCCGTTGTCGCACCATGCACGACGCAATCGAAGCTATATATAGCTTGTGCGCAGCGTTTGCAGAGGCAAAGCTTGGCAGTATGTTTATCGATCCGAGCGGGAGTGGTCGTGTTTCAGAGAGCTCACTCTGCCATATTAGGTATAATCCATCAAACTCAGACCGGTGCTTATCAGGGGTTATAAGGCTAACAAGTGTAATTTGTTGCAGAAATTTGCCAGTTGCTCGGTCATGACACCCCCGCGTTGGACACATAGGGTCCAGAAATGGTATGAAGGGACTCGGGCAGCAAGACAGAAGGATGCCAATCCTCGCTCATCCCCTTTGACCAAGGCGGAACATGTCCGTCTCCATAGGGAGCGCACAATTAGTCCGTAAGACCCCCACTATCTGAAACATAAGTTTAGCATGGAAACTTTGTAATGCTTGAATAAATTAAGTTGCCTATTTGGTTACAGAATTTCTGTACCCTAGTGGCCGTACACTTTCTGCAGGATGCACAAGACGTTTCATGTACCCCACTGGCCACTGCAGCTGCTTCCCCGATGCAGCCTACCCTATCTTTTTATTCTAAATAGCAGCTTATTAGCCACATTTTGATGTGTCCTAATTAGCAATATACTCAATGCAATTTAAAAAAAAAAAAAAAAAAATGTTTTGTCCATTTCTTGAAAATTACCACTTTTGCCCGCAGAACGGAGAGTTAAGTTGTTGAAATATGTCACATATACCTTGAAAAGGAGACCCTTTCTTTGTGGCTTGAAAGTGGCAGCTCCGAGAACACAGCTTCCTGAATTGAACTGTATGTTTTCCCATGGACAGCAACCTCAAATGACTCTCCCTCGGTAGCAAGTGAAATTTGGAGCAAGCACTGGCTAAGAAATGGGGCTGCTGGTGCACTCATTTCCTAGAACGTGAAAAAAATTAAATTGAGGAAAGGTGGGCCTGCAAGAACCATCAGTCATAACTACTACAAACATTAATGCTAAAAGAATATGCCGTGGCATACACTCTGCTTCTCCCTTTCAAATAGCAATGCACAATGATTACCTCAGAGATTAGCAGCTTCCACAGGAATGTTCCCAGTGCACGAAGTGTGACCGTTTTACTTGTCAGTGAAAGCAAGACCATCTCAGCCCATGAAGGTAGCTCTTCGGAACAAAGATTCATGACAAAATGCAGAAACTTGGAAAAGAAAAAGAAAAAGGAGTCACTCCAATGCTTACACTTCTCCAAGTGAAAAGCACACAGTATCCTTCCCATCAAAAGAACTTGATGAGGAATCCAACAGATTAACTGATATGTACATAAGACGATATTGTGCACTACAGATTCTAAAATTCCATTTGACAATTATACTACTGGCTGGCATGTTTTCTTGTCCTTACCAAACTACATGATTACAATCCTATTCATAAACAAGAAATGTTTCAATTCAAACTACTAACCTGGAACTGGAACACCCTTTAATAGCAAACGTAGTTAGGTATAAGGGTTAAAACGCATGCCTAGAGCCTTGCAAGTCGTTCAGGCAAGCAAGCTCAAATCCCAGCAGCCAAGCGGTCGCAATCAACCACCTGATGTACCATGTGGCCCCCCCATAGCACGTAATGTGAAGGTCAACATCGCACTCACATCAGAGATCTCTTTGAATGGAGCTTCCTCTCGTTCCAAACAATATGTGTCCGAAGTCTGCTCATCCTTGCACTGACACAGCTTTTGTATTTCAGCCACAACCTTCAAGACAGCATCCTCACAATCTATAAAGAATTAAATAAAATATCTTGTGTACCTGGCTTCTTGTTAAAGGCTGACGTACACTTCGCGCTTTCCACTTTTGCCCGCCACCTCCTTTCCTATATCCTCTCCACATGTTACCTTGCCCCAACCTGGCTCCCCCTCGCAGCTTAGGAGGGGGGAGCGCTAAAAGGATTATCTTCCCTGCAGAAAACCGAGGTTGTACGTCGGCCTTTAAGAAACTTCACTATGCGTGACAGTAACAGGAGTTGGTAGGAGGAATACACACAAAAACAAAAAGGGGGGGGGAGAGCCTCCTGGGGAAAAAGAGGTACCCCAGGAGGTTCCTACTGCAGCAGCTTTCCTATCCCTTTAACTTTTGCCAGCTGTATTTATACTGAATAATGGGCAAGACATAGAACAGGAACAGCAAAAAGACCTAACCTTTCACATCTTTAGGAAGCTTCATCAAAGAACCATACCTTTCTTTTTCTCTACAGCAGCCTTTGCCTGCACTAAAAGACTCTCAAATGGAGTTAAGGCAAGATCCATGTCACCCTCACTGGTGCTGCCTGGAGGTATAAATTAGTAGAGGTTAAATTCTTTACACGATAAATCAGGTTATAAAGAACTACTTAAAGTGATATTAAACACGTTACCTTCTTCTGATTTTTTGCTTGCCGAGACGAAGTTGTCATACTGTGCACTTGAAATTTTGCCATGTCTGAAATTAGGGACATCTAGAAAAACATGCTCCACACTGGAGGAGGTCGCCTCTTCCAAAATCTGCACTTACTGAAACAGGGCGTGTACCATTTTAGAGACCATTTCCTTGCGTTCTGGAAACTTCAGGAAAAAATAGCAATTTGAGCTTCAAATACACATGGCTTTCTCCAAGGGCAGAACTTGGTTAAACTTAATCAAAATTGTCCAATTTATTGGAAAGATTATATATGTCAGTGTTAATAGATAAAGCAGACAAAACTATCTGTATGCATTGTCAATGGACACTCAATGAAGTGACATGATGCTATGGACACCCCATGTGGATAATTCAAGTACACAAATAGCATAAAAAAATGTTTCCTTAAATCTTGACAAACATTTTCAAATTTTCTTCAAAAACTTGTAGTTCTCCAAGTGCTTGTGCTAACAGTAACAGTGGATATTTGCTGCCACACATCTCTACTCCCTTTTGTTGTGCAATTCTGCAGACACCGACAAATTCTTCACATACTAGCTCAGAAGCCTCATCAAAAGTATGTGGAGGTTGGCTATTCTAACCCCCAAGCTGAAAGCTATGTGCCTTCGACGAAAAGACACTGCATATTTACTACTGCCGGCCCTCTCCGCAGTCAGCCACCAACATGGCAAGGGGATCCCGCTTTTGGCTAGCGTAATGTCCTACTTAACTCATGCAGTCACCGTGTTCGGTGCAAGTTGATAGCACAAGAGTGCCACAGTAGTTTCTGCCCCTGCAGACATCTGGTAGCACCTTTATTCATTCTTCCACAATGCAAAAGGATCAGAAAAAAAAGATCTTACTGCAAGGAGCTAATAATTATAATGTTAATGAAAATGTCTGCACATTTGGAAGAAAATAACCAGCTAAAACATGTAAAAAAAAAAAAAAGATGTATAAAGGGATTTATTGAAAGGAGGCAGTAGCGAGTTTGTTTACAAAATAAACCACCAGTGAATAGACTTACATGCTGGTGCTCAAAAAGGACTGGAATGAACTGTCCAGTAAAATAGGGCTTCCTGAAAATGCTGCAAAATAAAGATATGTGCTATATATAATTATTCTGTGGACTTATAATAACTTTTATTTTGATTAACTTGCCTAGCTTCTATGACATTTCTTGGTACTTTCCCAGTAGCCTCGAAACTATCCAGGGCTTTTCCAACTTCACTGCGTAGTTTGATCTAGAAGCAAAACTTTGATAGCTTTATTTCTTACTTTGAAAACTTAGTTTAATCACTCACACTCTCTTCTTCATCATCAGATACAGTGGAGCCTTTGTGTCCAGATACCTAACAGAAGTAAGAAATTATCTCACATTTCAGTTGTTAGGACATAAACTCTTTAGAAAGCCTACCTCGAGATCTTGCAAGCGAGTTTTTGCCAATGCAGTGTAGTCTTGAAACAACAGTCTGCATTTCACTGTAGCATATGCTGGCTTTTGAAGGTGTGCCTAAACATGTTTATCAAAAACAGAACACATACATGAGATAAAACAGATAAGACCAATAATGCACATGTACCTAGTTATTGATTCGTCATACTTGATACCTTCAGGTACTTGGCTTGCTCAAATGGTACCATGTCAACGAGAAACTTCATCAAGAATGAGAAAGTCTTGGAACTGCCAGCATAAGTAGTGTCCGAGAACCCAAAGTACTTCTGAAACAGCATTGAAAGAAAAGGCATTTTAACTTTTTTTTTAGATTTGTATCACAAGTCTTTTCAAATGCATTATACATGCTAACCAAAATGCAGTTTCCTTTAGCAAATGAAACCTTAACAACTGCCTGACCAACTATGTATATCTGTATGCTTTACACTATTTTCAGTTGTATTTATGTCACAAATTACAAATTAATGTCAATAGCTATGAACACTTTCAATCCTATCTCTAAACAAATTTTAGAACCGGTTTTCAAAAATGCGTAACATCAACCGGCTCGCCTGCCTACTTACTTTATCTTCAAATTTTAGAAGTTTACTCATTCAAACATGTTTTGTCACTTCGTCTAGAAAGCACCATGACAAACAGCCTCATAAAAAAGGAAGCACACCTCGAACCATGAAGCGTAAGGAGGAAAGAAATGTGGCGCTTCTTGAGCTGTGTGTCTGGCCAAGAGGAATGCACCAACAAGGCTCTCCATTTCCAGTGATTCAAATGCATCCTTCAGAAGTTTTTCAATCAGACCTGCACGAACAAGACTTTTTTTTATTTTCTTCCGAACTTTGAGTTACTCAAGAGTGTCCCATTATACAGGAAATTTGCTTTTTAGTCAATACAGATTTCTCTTTAAAAAGGGGAGGTCATGGTAATTATGCTGCACGGGCCGATATTTAGGGGCCTGGCCCAGCCCGGCCCACTGTCTCTTGGGCCCGGGTCCGCCCATGGCCGGCTATCTATTTTCGACAGCCAGCCCGGCCCGGCCTGATGCTAATTTTCACCACATCACTGAGGCCCGCTATAATTTCGCCCAGTATGAATAGCTCACAAATTGTGCGGCACGGCAGCTCGCTTGCCACTGCTACACATGTTGGCTACGGTACCCAATAATCAATGCAGTGAGCATCCTTTTTTTTTTTTTTGCTGCTATTATTAGTTGGATTAATCTGTGGGCCTATGCAGCTCGTTAAAGGGGCAATGCAACGATTTTTGTACTGTGCAAATACCGCTAATGAATCCCTGACGTGAATGACCCTTGAAACATGTGTTAGTTTTTCACCACACACAACAGAAGTCACAGAAAAATTTAACAAAAGGGTGCAGCGTTCACTCCCTCAACTCGCAGCCAGAAGAAGCGGTCATGTGATCTGGAGCCGATTATATGCCGCCAATGTTGATCATAGCCACGCGCTGGGGTTGGCAAAGCGCAGGACATGCGCTGAGTTCCAGACATTTCTATGATTTGGTTATTGTCATCACTGCAGTGATTGGACATGGGCCACAACCGGAATGCTTGTTGAGCTATTGATTATCACGAGCCCAAATCGAGTGCTCACGCAATGCTCGGGTTCAATCTATGAGCCGCATTCAAAAGTTGTCAATGGGGGGTACTGCGACCCTCCATCTCCGTCGTCAAGTTTTGCGAAGGAGAGTTTGAAAGAAAATGCTTGATTATGTCCTTAAAATTACATCGCAGCAAAGGAGTTTCTTTGTAAGTGCTTTTGTGTGCGAGTATACTTGGGTCCTACTAGTGCCGGTAAGCTAATGTAAAGTAAAGAAAATATTCCAAGCAATTATTGTCGCACAGCCCTTTTAAGAAAAATCACCTCCTCCTCCTTTTTTGCGAACAAACCCGCATATCGGAAAGGACGAAAAAATTAAAAAGGCAAGCAACAGTAAACAAAACCATGTGTCAAAGGTGAAAAGGAAGGGAAACATTGCAACGGGTTCGGACAAAGTTCTAAATTGCCCCCTCCCGCTGCATACAAAAAAAAAAAAAAATATATGGCTGTCTTGCGGTGGTCTGCAAGAAATTGTTTAGGAAAAGTACCCCTGGGGGGAACCTCTTCACCTATAATATGGATGCACGCACTGATAGGTACACATGGTGTACGCCTGCGAAGGTGCGCATTGTGTGGGCAGGTATGTCTGCATGTTGATGGGGAGAAGCAACTATACTACGGCGCCGCCGCCGGTGACGAAAATGAACGCCGCGCCGCTAGTGCTCTGGAAGAGCATTCGCTGCACAAACGCCAAACCGTACAAAAACATATACAAATACACCCACATGCTTTCAGCATTTGGGTCTCGCCCACTATGGTCCCTCCGCGAACCCCCCAAAGAAACTAAAAAAAAAACGTTCAGCCTTTCCACTCTCGTGAAGAAGGAGGACCAGTGGAGCTGTACTCGATGCACTGCCGCAACGCGCACGCACCCGTTTCCCGTTTCTCCTTGTCCGACACGTCGCTGATCATGAATACGTCTCCAGCGAACCAGAGTCCCATGAAGCGCACGTGACGCCAAACGGGCAATCCACGAACTCCCTCCGGAACCTCGTCGTCGCGCCCGGGAACTGTTCAGCCGGTGTAGAGTGCAATCGTAGCCGGGCCTTGCGCTTGCGCTTGGCCTCCGTGGCACAATCGTCGTCCGTGACATTGGCCTGCCGGCGCCATTTACATTGCTGGTTCTGTTCTTGGCGGAGGCTTTCCAGGCGAGCGATGTGCTCTTCTTTGGCAAGGAAATCTGAAGCGCTCAATGCAGTGGAAGTCGAGGCGACAGCGGCTTTGCGGCAGTTGCGGCCCCATTCATGCTGCTGCGCAAGTTGCCGCTCCTTCCGCAGCCAGTCTTCTTTCCCCAAAAAGGCGTGCGGCCGACCCATCCTAAGTCCAAACCGAAACTGATAAGAGCGTAGGAAACAGCGCGCGAAACAGACGAGGACAAAGAAACACATGTGACGAGCGCTGCGCTCGTTACGTGTGCTTCTTCTTTGTCGTCGTCTGTATTTCGCGCTGTTTCCTAAAATGAATTCCCACCAACGCCGCCCAACTATCCATTTTTCTGCGATAGCTGGAAAGGTTGCTGCCATCTACGAGCGACGGCGGCAAGCAGACTGGTTGTGTGCTTGCCGCCGTCGCTTATAGATGGCGATAGCTGTCCAGGTAGGTTTGCGTCGACAGGCGTTTGATACCGGACACGATCCTGGGGAACCTAGCCCTTAACAGCTCCGCTGTAAAAAAAAAATGCACAAAGTGGGCTGAAGGTTTGGCTTGCCTTGGCCCACCTTGTATACTTGAATGCAAGGCCCGTGCCCCACCCGGGCCCTTCATGAATGTAGCAGTGAAGCCCGAGCCCGGCTCGTGGGCTGGCCCGTGCCCGTGCAAACCTCTAAATTATGCTGGCTTCACTTCAAATTTGTTACGTGCAGTCGACATTCAATGACATGATAAATGTCACAATAAGGTCGCTAATTACTAGGGGTGGGCGAATATTCGAAAGTTTGAATACGAATAGAATATTATACATTTAATATTCATATTCGATTCGTAAAACAAGTCTGGTATTTTTCGAATATTCGTCGAAACACAAATATTCGAAATTAATCAAATATTTGAGAACGTATTTGCAAGCGTAAGCTTTGCTTTCGGTTTCGGTAAGCAAGGCCCATTGACAGCGACATAGCTGCATGGCAGCTTCAACCTAAACTGGTGGCGTCAGTGTCGGTAGTGGTAGTCTGCGAGTTTCTGTTCCCTTGTGACTCCTGACTTTTCAAACTGTGCTCACTTTCTCATTTGCTCACCCGTGTTATGGCGGAGGGAGGTGATTGTGGGGAACCGTTTGCGAAGCGGAGGAACGAGAAACGGCACCAAAACGAAGAGAGAGGGGTGCCATTTAGAAATTTTTTTGTGAGGATGACGGCATCGATGGCGCAATGTACGGCATGCGAGTCAACGCCAATAGCGTAGCGAGGAATGTTTTTCGGGAAGGGGGGGGGGCTTGTTAGGCTGGGATGTCCATGACTTGGGGTGTGGAGATCCGGCTACGCTTCTGGTCAATGCCCTTTGTCAACCATCTCAAAGTACATCCTGCGTTGTTGAAAGAGTATCGTGAGATTACCGCTGGTACGGCAGGAAAAGATCAACCGACACTGATGGACTTCGTGCGCCGCACGTAGCCCCTGCACAAAGAGAGGGTGCGAGTGCTAAATAACAGGGTGTCTACCATGGCGCTTGATTTACAGCCTTACAGCATTGTAAAAGACCGCGGCTTCAAAGAACTTCCGACAGAAGCCGGTCCCAACTATCACCTACCATCCCGCTCTACACCCTCGCGCGTGCTTGTGCCACGGATGTATCACGTCAACCGAAAGAAGGTGAAAGCAGAGCTCAACAGTGCCTTCAAAGGCGGCACTACCGGTGTTGCCTTCACAAGCGACATGTGGACATCGCGCGCTAACGAAAGTTACGTGAGCTTATCCTGCCATCTTCTCACTCCAAAATGCATGATGAAGCGGTTCACATTGAACACTCGACACATGGCTGCCAGTCACAATGCTGTGAACATCACAACTATGTTGGAGAAAATGTGCCATGACTGGGAGATACCCGATGAATCTGTGAGGTTTATCAAAAAGGATAACGGGCGCAACATCCGTGCTGTGGTGAGGAGACTTTCGTGGACTGAAAGAGCGTGCTTCGCGCATATGCTTGTACTGGCAATCAATGACGCGAGACCCCGTTCGCCGGCCAGTGATCGCCTGTGCGAGAAAGTGAGGCATATTTTTGGGACATTACAAGCCCAGTTCATAAGCTCAGAAAGGGTTTGAGGAATGCCAGAAGAAGATGAGAAAGGACACACTACGTCTGGTGCAAGACGTAGAGACGAGATGAAAGAGCCAGTATCTAATGTTGTCTCGCCTTCTGGAACTTAAAGAAGCAGCCGCTGTGGAGCTTGCTACCTTGGACTGTGACATCGATGGACTTGGTTTATCAAAGTGGGAAGATGCTTCTGAATACGTACAACCATTGAAGCTATTTTTTGATGCCACTGTTATTTCCAGTGCTGAGAAGTATCCGTCTTTGTCCTCCCAAGTTCCTATGATTTTTGGTATGCTTCACTGGCTAGGTAACGGTGCTGGGGCATCAGAATTTCCCGCAGAACTGATAAGATCCATCAATGCAAGGTTCACTCTGTATGAGGAAGACAAGGAAGCATGCCCTGCTATGTTCTTGGACCCACGGTTATAGTCCACAATTTTTAAAGCCAAAAAGGAAAAATTATTATGGCTAAAAGCTTTGGTGCTGCAAGAACTAGCCTCATGTGATGCTACTGAAGAAACCCAGCCGGAAGCCGCAAGAGCAATGTGTCACAAGAGCAATGCTCAACGCCGTCAGCAGATGTTTGGCAAGCATTTGACCACTTAGCCAAAAGTGCAATGGAAAGCAAAGTGGTTTCAGCTTCAGAATGGGAAGTTGTAGCGTATGTGGAGGAGGCACTGCTAAAAAGAGGAAGTGATCCGTGTGAGTGATGGCAAACTGTCGGGTGCTTAAGATATCCAAGTCTGGCGAAGCTATGCATCAAATACCTGGCAATACCTGCCACTTCAGTGCCGAGCAAGAGAGTTTTTTTCTGTGGCTGGGGGTGTAGTTTTCACTTGAAGGGAGCGCCTCCTACCTGACCATGCGCAGCAGTTGATGTTTCCGCAGGGCAACTTGTAATCTTCCCTACAACTAGAATTTTAATTTTTTTTGTTTTATTCTCGTTAAGATTACAAGTTGGCATGCAGAAAAATCAACAGCAATTCTGCAGTTCAAAAAGAAAAAAAAAAGAAAAAGAAAAATCAAGTGCAGTTTCGACACGTGAAAATAAAAAAAATGCTTTGAATAAATGCACCTGCCTTCGACTATTCGATATTCGAAGCTAACTATTCGTATTCTAAAATATTAATATTTGCACAGCCCTACTAATTACCTAAGACTTTTTAATTACTATCACTGGGGGTCACATCGCATCTGCCATTTTGAGGGTAGTTGTAAGTAGAGGCAACACCAAACAAAATTCACAAAAAGGCAACCTGCTTTGAGATTATACAGATCACTTTTTTTCCTTTCATGCTGCCTTATTTTGAAAGAGGATGCATAAAGAGCACTTTCAGTTCCATTAATAACGAAGCTTAGATGGTGACATTTTCATAAAAAGCATGCCACAACCAAGCGACAGGCGCACAAGAGAACAATCAATGCCCTGACGTTGCAGAGATGGCACTACTTGATTTGCCACATTACCATAGGCGAGACTCGAAGCGCTCCTGAATCCGGTTTCAAAATAGGTGGCATAAAAGCAAAAACATGGTTTATTAATATTTCCAATCACATCGCCTTTCTGAAAATTGTGCAAATTAGTTTGAGCACTAGTAATAACTACCTTCAAAACTACAATGGCTCCATGACCCTATAAGCCAGATTTGAAAAATGTGAAAATTTTATCCAATTAGCCAACTGATTGTGCAATTATCCTATCATGGGATATCTGCTGGGCCTGATAAGTTTGCAGTAAAGAGGGTATCCAGGTAATGTTCACCATTTTTTTTTCTTTAATAATTATGTACTAACTACAAACAAACAGCCTGATATGTTTAAGCATGCTCATGTTTCTACGGTTTGTTCCATCAACGAAGTACTACTTCTAAAAAGAGAGGCTTTGCCCTGAAGAAAAAACATTTCGCTCAATGCCCAAATAATGGGCCAAAGCACACAGTTAGGCAGAACTTTGTTCATACAATTTTGCAATGCCAATGCTAAAAAAAAAAGGGCTGTTGCTGGATGCTTTTTTCTTTCAGTGGCATGAGGAAAATGGTGAATTATACCGAGTATCGTAGCAGCACCATTTCTTACTTGGAGTTAAGAGGCAGAGCCACACATGCAGTTCTTTTGCTACAACAGACTACCTATAGCACAAACCAATATAAAAAGCTTACTGCAGGCACAGCCGATACCATTTGGCATGAAATACTGCCCTTTAAAGTCATACTAGATAAGTGTGCTCTTTAATAAATTTGAAATTAAATGTAATTTTGCTAGTGAACATGTCTAATGAGGGACACCAGCACAGCGAAGGATAAGGATTAATTTAGACCAGGAGTTCTCTTCTCAAACTGGGTTCCACGAAATACGGGGTTCTGCGAGCTGGTCTCAAGGGTTCCATGAGCACCCAAATTGCAGTGCACCCCCCCCCCCCCCCCCCCCCCCCCAGTTTAACTTCCACTGACTGAGCCATGGATCGAGTTGGATTTGCGGACAAAGCAACCGCACCCTTCGCATTATTGTGTGTATATATAGTTTACATAGTGCCCCAGGTTAACCCCTCTGCCTTCTTATTCTGTCTGTAGTCCTCCATTTTGTCTTATTCTGTCAGTGCAATAAACTCTTGTTCACTATCTAAACACCTTTATTGCCCAGTATGATCAGTTGGCCAGAAGGGGGGGGGGGGGGGGGGGGGTCCTTTGGACTTTTTGAGGCTTGCTTGGGTACCCTGGGACGAAAAAGTTTGAGAACCTCCGATTTAGATCATCTGGAATTCTTTAATGAGCAACCGAAACCGCAGTTACAAGATACCACCTTGCGATAAGCTTCCACCAAACTGTGTTCACCTTAGTCGGCATTCGAGCCCACCAACTGGGAATCTATAGGCTGGCATTTTGCTTCTGAACCACAGAGGCAGCTTCGTCAAATTGACTAACTCAATGATGGAAGTGACATTTGACTTTTTGCAGCAGGTTTGGAGCAGCCACTGAACCTTTTGGAGCAGATCACAACATGTTTTAGCACATCACTTCAAAATAAAACAGTGATTGCATCACTAAGTGAGTCAATGTTAATAATACTTGAGGGTTCATCTTTGATATTGAATTATATTATTTATTATCTTTTGTAATCCTAATGCATATGGATAATAAAAAGTATAACATGACACAAAACTGTCTTCATAGAAGCAAGGCTCAGGTCCAAGTAAATTCCGTTTACGATGGGGATTAAAAACAAATTGTAGAAAAATGAACCATAGCAAGATACTTCAGTTGAGATAAAGTGTCTCTCCAAGTCCCTCTTTTACACTCATAGTTAATATAGCGAAAACTAGGATATTCCCTAAAATGTCATCAGTGTAAATATGTTCCACCAAGATTTATGAACCTACAAAACTCAAATATCTCATAATACCATAAACTGCAACACCCCCCCCCCCCCCTCCCCCCTCAAATATTACTAAAAATTTTAGTTGAACTTTAGAAGTGACACTCCTACTTCTGTAAAAGTGGCATTGGAGCCGGAGTTAAGTCGGTGTTCGGTGCCCTTTCAATCAACTGCTGTGTGGTAGTTAAATGAAAGTCAAGGTAGTCTTTGCACAGCTGTGTGGCGACTACCTTGACTACTTATACATATGTCGGTGATTTTTTGGTTTGTTTTCCTTTCTTGGCAGCGCTCCTTTAAACTTAAAGGTCAACCTACAATCAAGACGAAAAAGCTCGACCTGAACACAACTTCCGAGCCCATAGCGCTAACCCATAGGTGTCCCCCTGCGCAAGCAGTTTCTCCCAGCACATCGATGCGACGCAGTGAAGCTTGACGCACACGTGCCTGTGCGAGGTGGTGAAGTTGTACGTGAGCGGTGACAGTGCCACAGAGTAGAGGAGTCCAAGTGAGATGAAAATTGAGTGATCTCATAAGTAGAATGAGACTCTGGTTCTCTCTTATCCCAGCAGCCGCCATACCACCATTTTACGAATTTTCCTTGTGATCTTTAGCTCCAAGTCATCGACATTGTTGTTTGAAAGCTCAGATGATGTGTCGACATGGCGAGTAGAGACACCGTGAAACACTTGTCTGTACCATTTTCCTTCTCATACTTCTTTCAATGTTAAATTTTATTTTGCTTTCTTTAAGCTTGTCCTGGCATGTGTGAGGCACAGATCTGAGCAAAAATGGCATTTTTGACGCGACAGATAGAAGACGTGCGTTCATGGCACAATTTGGTGCAAATGGCACAGCACTTCCATTGCCATTGTACCCATGGCTGCCAAGGGCAGAGTTTTTCATTCCAGCAAGATCTTTAATCTTTGCAAATCTCGCCAAATATTATTTCTGAAATTGAGAACTGCAAAATTCACAACTTTAAGAAAATTTATAAACTAGCTAAATCTGAAAAAAAAAAGAAAATAATAATAATAATAATTAGGAGCTGCAGTTTTACAATGTGGAATCTTTACTGGAAGAAATGAACTGGCCTTAAGATCACCAAACTGCAATACCTGTTAGGCAACCAGTTGTATCGTGATGGAACTTGAGGTAGACTGAAACTGCCATGAGCAGCATGTACCAGTTGACCTCCTGGCTGTGCAAGGCCTTGGACAACTGGTCGGTCACTTCTTGAGCAGTGAGAAGCGACATAACCTGAAAGAGCACCACTAAACATCCATCCCAATTCACAGCCACGAGCCACCAAAAACCCAACATACCACTATTATACGCTCAATTTTCTCAAAACTATCGTAAACCAGGTTCAATAAACTAGCGATTTCAGCTAAAATTTAACTGGAAACTGCCTTCCCCACCTTTTGGTACATCTCAAGAAGCCAGAGAGAACAACTCTTGTAGTTCCACTTATGGTGATCAGACATGGCTTGAGTAACTGTAAGAAGGTGCAGATCAATGAAATTATATCAAACAGTAATGAGGGCCTAGGAACAAAATACCCATTGTCACTGACAGGACAACAGAAGTGCAGGGGCACCTCTTTCAGAGGTCCTGTCCCCAGCATGTGCTCATTGCCTTCCACTGTGCTTTGGCTATGTGTGCATGCCCAAAGCTCACGGGACACCGAAGTGATATCGAAGGCAGGAGAGTCGCGCTGAAGGTAGGGTAACTCAAAGACCTCCCTGCTGTTCTTATCTTGTCAGAGACCCCAATATACTATGTGTCTTGTTCAACCTACCCTTATGCACAGGGTTGTAGCTCAGCATGGAGGAGAAAAGCTCCAAGGCGAAATTCCGAACACTAAGGCGATTCACAACTGGATTCCTCAGTAGAGGGCTCAGCACATTGCAACTGTAAACAAACCATTTCATTAGTGAGCAAAAGCTATGCTATGGAGGACAGTCCTCAAGCTTACCAAGTTAAATTCTGGCCATCTTCATTTGCTTTCAGTAGACCTAAAAAAATAATATTCATAATAAATTATAACAAGTTTGCTGCTCAATGTAAAGGGACAAGTTTCATACTAGACACAAATGTACAGTGAGCAAAACATCAGAACAGTATTTTACAAAAGTGGATCATCTCTTTTGATCTTTTCTTAAATCTGACATCGTGACAAGGAGTTATGGTACACACTTCATCTTAGGGTATACGTTAATTCACTCCAGTTACAAGAAAAGCATCCATTCTGTGCATCAGCCTAGTGCCATACCATTCAACTTGGTGGCAACTGAGTGACATAAAGAGCAGAGAACCTAGTATTAGATCATGCAAGAAATCTCCGAATGCTTACGCTGCACAAGTGTTTCCAGTATAGCATGGCAAACCTGGAATGTAAAAGTGAATTTTTTTTTTTTCTTTTTAACTCTATTTACAGCCGTCCCCAAACCTAGCACCTTTCCCGCCTAAGCCACTCCATCATATTTTATTTACTTTACCTTTGAGACCTGAGGAAATCAAAGAGGAAAAGTTTTGATAGAAACGCCTAAATGAAAATAAAATATGTAGCCTTACCTAAAGCAGAATTGAGGGCAGTCTTCTATCTAAACCTATTATCACTGCACAAGATTTTCTTTATGAAAAAAAAATATGATGTTATTTGAAATGGTTTTATTGTCCACAGCAATCACAAAAGGTTTATGACCAACACTGTATAGGTCTCTAAAACGGACACCAGGTAGGTTTTGAAAATAACCTGCCAGATATCAAAACGCCATTTTATATGCCCCAACCATTTGTACCTCTATCTAGTATGTAGTAATTATAGAAAATCTGAACATCATAGATCTTGAGTTGTTTAAAGGGACACTGACAGGGTATTTATGCTCGCCGAGGTTTTTAGTTGTGCGTGACATATGAGAGCTCAACTACCCAGAACAGAATTTGCGGCTCGAAATTCGGTTTCTTTCCGCCCGAAAACCGCCGATCAAGAACTGGCCGGTTCGAGTCTCGCTCACTCTCTTTTTCGCGGTCACGGGCCGTTTTCTAAGGTATCGATGCGACCACCAAATTTAATCAAAGTCGTTGGTCACTGAAGGCACACACTCAGTATTAAAAATAGAAAAAAACATAAAACCCATTTTTTGTGGCTTCTAAAAAGCTGTAAATACGATGAGTGAAAAAAAAAGTTCCACAGACAACCGGAAGCATTCTGTGCGTTCGTCGTTTCGCGTATCGTGGGACTCGCGGGGACGGCGATGGCAGCGGACGACGGGCGTGGGACCTCTATTTCAGAACTGTCGTTCGCGGTACCGGCGAATTCTGTCTACCGTTAAAAGGAAAATTTGGGACTGATCAAAAGAATTGGTATTCATCCCGTACGACACGCCCGGCCACTAAGCCGATTTGCACGAAGACGTCGCCGAGCCGTCGCTGCCTTCTCGTGGCTGAAGACAACGCTTGCGCAAACGTCAAGCACGACGTGTCTACTTTGAGTTGAATATGCACGCGTACGATTTCTTTACTAGGTGCAAATGTCCCCAAAGCGTGGTGCTTCCCGACTCCGACCCGGGAGTGCTTTTGCTAGAGAAAAATCGACAGCAAACTTTCCAACTCACAGTTTACCGGCTGAATTATTACTAAGGAAAGAGCTCCGGAAGAACAGAGATGCCTGAGTAGCTCAGTGGGGAAGACATCCACTTCACACGCGGTAGGACCGGGTTCGATCCCCCGTGAATTTTTTTTTTTTTTTTTCAAACATTTTCCGATGTTTACATATCTTTTTCTTTTTTTTTACAATCATCACTGAAGAAACAAACAAAAATAACAAACAAATGTTGTGGACGATACTTCGCTGAATTAAATGGTATCGGATTTCCGTTTTGACACCTGCGAACTCAACCTAATCACTTTCTACAAAATGCAAGGAGCATATAAATCAGGTAGCGTCCGCTTTCCGAGGTGCCCGTAAATGTTCTACAGGAATTGCAGCCAGCCATTGGTCCCGATCCCGCTGATCTTTCGGAAACTCTGTCGCACAATGCCACTTTTTTTTTCGGATGCAGGACATGTGAGCCAGCTCTTCACGCAACATCTTGGGTGTATTCTTTTCGGAGCCGATCATGGAAATTCACCACGGGCACTCACTACTCATCTCCAACTCCTCAATGTACAAAACAACTCATCTTGGAGTACAGAACAACGAGCGGAACAAACATAACTGCTAAAGAATCGCACGCCGCATGTCGTGTCGTCTGCTACGGAGAGGAGAAAAAAAAAAAAAACGCACGGTCGGGTGTAGCCACGTGACTTCCGCCACTCACTCTCTTCTCTCCACTTCTCCGACCTCCGTCGGGTTTCGGTTTCGGTTTCGAGCAGTTGCGTCTTTTGGCTTTATTAAAAAAATACGCTACTCTGTTGCAAAATATTAATTGGGTAGTCCTCCGACACTATAATGAAGCACCTGGCAAAAAATAAAAAAATTTTTTGGGGGGTGTCAGTGTCCCTTTAATGCCAACTGGACAAACACCGTGGGATTCATACCAGAGGCATAGCCAGGGTGGGAGGGGGAGCCTTAGTCCCTCCCCCCCCCCCCCCCCCCCCTTGAAATGTAACCAACCCTATATGAATCACGTCATTCTTCATGCCTAGCCTCATAGCCTCAACAACCTCCCCCACCCCAACTGCTCCCCAAGTCACAGAGGCCCCAGCCCTCCCCTCCACAACCCTCCCCTCAAGAAAACATTACTGGGTATGCCACTGGCCCCTACAGGGTGCCATGGTGCCACTGTGTTGCACTTTTCCCTTATACTCTGTCCGGCCCTAAAGTAGACCTTAAGCTACAAGCCATCTGAGTTAGTTTAGTTACGCCTGTGTTCCACAGGACTTTGGACTCGGCACACAGCAGCACCTGAACACGAGGTCATACACTGTACTTGTATCTCTCAAAATGCTTGAGCTTGCTCATAGCAGCTGCTGTGCTTCACTTCAGGATGAAGCAAAACAAAAAAACTGTTTCCATCAGCAAGGTCACTGAAACTTTTACCCAAAATGCCAACTAGACTCATTCCTATGACCCTCCCTTAAATCAGCCGTAAACCATCATATCCACAACAGAGAAAAATGATTACCTTATTTACCCCTTTGCTGGCACCAATGGAATGCAGTTCAGGATAACATATGCCAACTAGTGCATTTATGAACACTGAAAAGGTGCGACGGTTCAATTAGCAAAGCAGGCAAAAAAGTTCTGTAAATGAGAATGAATTTGAACACTTCAGCTGTCACATGACAAAAAGTATGAAACTTGGCAACAGCAGAAAGGACTTAACAGCCTCTTTACTAGACTTGATATGAGATGCTGCAAATGAAAGAACGGCTCAGCCTCATTACCGACCAGGGGTCTCAAATATGTGGCCCACGAGCCACATGCGGCCAGCGAATCGCTGGGACGCAGTTAGAAAAACCTGCAAGCACCCATTCCAGTGTCTCCAGCACTAGAAATGGCATGCTGTGCCATTTCTAGTGCTGGAGACACCGGAATGGGTGCTTGCAGGTAGTTGTGCCCTTATGATAGCTGTTCCCTTATGACATATTCACATTGTTCATATTACCGTAAAATACCAGGGAAGCGCCCACCCCACTTTCACTGAAAAATTGGTTAGTCTAGACATGGGCACTTGTCTGGTTGAAGAAGTAAAAACCAAGACGGCGGCAGCTTGCACGAGAAGTTAAGAAACCGCGGCAGCATGCACACTTTATCAAGATTGTCTCAAAAGCCCTGGGACCACTGGTTTTGTTTCCAAGAACTGTTCATTGTCACACCGCATAATCTTCACCCCCATCGGTCCTGGCATGGCTACAAGTGGGTTGCTGACCTCCAGCATTGTAAAGACCTCTCACTGTACCCAAGGGACCTAAATACAGTTCATGGTTTAACCTGTCCAAGAAGTCTTTCCCTTCCCATCGCAAGGAAGCGGATATCCTCGTCATCTCCGCTGGTGTTCTCGTAGCTGCCACAGTATGGTGAACATTTGCAGTGCTTTGGAGGGGGTGGGTGCTTGACACATAATCAGAATTCCGAAATTTTGGAAATGTTAATAGTGGGCGCTTGTCCGGAAGTGGGCGCTTCCCTGGTACTTTACGGTAATGTTCTTATTTGCCCTGTGCTTCATTTTAATTTTTACTTCCCAGCTTTTTTTCATGTTAATCACCTGTACGCCGATTCTGCTACCAGGATGCAAGCACTACCTCTTCGCTCAAGGACACAGCTCGGCTGCATGAACTCTCGCTCAGCAGGAGCAACTGCCAATGATAAAGCTATGAACTCGAGATCGTTGCCTTCACAAAACATCACCATTAAAATACAAGTATTTCCTCAGACTGCTGCTATAAAGATCGTCAGGAAAATAAAAACTGTCGTATTAAGTTTTTGTCTTCCATCGTAAACCAGAGACACGGAAAAATAAAAAAACGGACAAAACAACAACAAGTCTCAAACACAGCTTCTAGTTTATTTGAACACCTCCGCTCTTATATATACACAACAACCCTCCTCTCCAAAGGTCGACACACCTCCTCTCCACTCCATCAACGACATCTCAAACTGAACCAATGACACATGCTACCTCCCTTCCTTTCATACCAACCAAAAACTGACCCCTTTCCAATCCAAGAAACAGGCACTCAAACCCTGCTAACAATGAAAACACCCCCCCCCCCCCCAAAAAAAAAAAAAAAAAAAAAAAAAGATAAGTTTTACGGAACCGACCAGCCACAACTGATAACAGGCCTATCGAACAGACACGGTGTTAGCATTCAACCACCCCTCAAAAAAAAAAAATTAAAGACATAGAAAGCGTTTCAGTTCACTTCCGAAACCCAAGGACGGTGTGCTGACACAATTGCCACGCTCCAAAATACATAAAGTCTCCCTCACAACTCTCCTACCATTTTCTTTCTCTTTATGCAATACCTGGGTATCCCCCCACTCAGGCTGACAGTGATTGCAGTCTACAACATGTTTAGCTATTTCTGAATTCTGCGCATTGTCTTTTACCGCCCTTTTATGTTCCAGCAACCTATCATTCAAACAGCGACCAGTTTGGCCTACATAAGACAATCCACACCGCAACGGAATGTCGTATACAACTCCTACTTGACAAGTTAAATCAGGGTTTTGGTGTTTCTTTAGGCAACCCTGACGACCACCCGAAAAGGGGGTTAAGCTTTCCAATTTATGTTGTGCCTTGAAAACTAAATTTACTCCGATTGTCTTATGTAGGCCAAACTGGTCGCTGTTTGAATGATAGGTTGCTGGAACATAAAAGGGCGGTAAAAGACAATGCGCAGAATTCAGAAATAGCTAAACATGTTGTAGACTGCAATCACTGTCAGCCTGAGTGGGGGGATACCCAGGTATTGCATAAAGAGAAAGAAAATGGTAGGAGAGTTGTGAGGGAGACTTTATGTATTTTGGAGCGTGGCAATTGTGTCAGCACACCGTCCTTGGGTTTCGGAAGTGAACTGAAACGCTTTCTATGTCTTTAATTTTTTTTTTTTTTTTTTTTTTTTTTTTTGAGGGGTGGTTGAATGCTAACACCGTGTCTGTTCGATAGGCCTGTTATCAGTTGTGGCTGGTCGGTTCCGTAAAACTTATCTTTTTTTTTTTTTTTTTTTTTTGGGGGGGGGGGGTGTTTTCATTGTTAGCAGGGTTTGAGTGCCTGTTTCTTGGATTGGAAAGGGGTCAGTTTTTGGTTGGTATGAAAGGAAGGGAGGTAGCATGTGTCATTGGTTCAGTTTGAGATGTCGTTGATGGAGTGGAGAGGAGGTGTGTCGACCTTTGGAGAGGAGGGTTGTTGTGTATATATAAGAGCGGAGGTGTTCAAATAAACTAGAAGCTGTGTTTGAGACTTGTTGTTGTTTTGTCCGTTTTTTATTTTTCCGTGTCTCCGGTTTACGATGGAAGTTCTTCACCAGCTCGCCTGTGCTTTTACCCTTTCTTCGTAAGTTTTTGTTTCTTTTTTGTTTTTTTCTAGACATGTTGAGTTTGCTTGATTTCTGAGTAAATTGAGCAATGAAAAAAACAGTGTGCTTTCTCTTCTGTTCTATTAAAAATGCCAGCACGTTGAAGGGGTGGTGCCATTTTATTATTTTACACATCAGGTAAGGGCCCAAAGTAGTCCTATAAACAAACCAGGGCTAAAGATGCCACTAGCACAATTCTGAGTTTACAAAAAGCAGAGAGCACGAAGTCCCTTCTCTATAAAATATTTTTAAACATCTCCTCCCCTTGCCTGATGTTGGCCCTCAACCTTTCGGAGGTGGACTACCTGGCACCCACACTCAAATGAATGAATGAATGAATGAATGAATGCTTATTTCCGGAATCAACTGAAACGGAGACAGGGACTAAAGGCTCGAAGCCTGACAAAGGTCTCTGTCCCCAAAGCAGCGCTTTCCAGCAGCACACATTTTACAAAGTTAACGCTTAGTAATAAACATTATATTCATTTTTTGAATATACCAGAAAACAACTAGTTATTACATAAAAATTCAAATAATAAGGGGTTATCACTGCCCACCATGAGTGTCCTGAGATCCCTTTTAAATTTACTAAAATTGTTATTAAAATTTAAGTGGTCTTTAATGTTATTCAGAGCTTTACTGACTTGATATTCCATTGTTTGTGTTCCATAATTTGTATGGGTCTGAGGGGGCAGCCTATATGCGTGTCGAAGAGGGTATGCATGCGTTACGTCACTTAAATCCGTCACATATAGTTTTTGTCTGTAAATCAGATGTAATAATTTAAAATAATATATCTGATTGACCTTAAGAATGCCATATTTTTTAAAAAGTGGTGCAGTGTGCAGGTCTTGTATTTTACCCTCATAATTTTCAAGTAAGCGCAACATTTTTTTCTGCAGTGTGAGCAACGAATTATAGTTTGTGGTCGATGTCGTGCCCCACACTAGAAGACGATAACAGAGCCTACGGTAAAAGAGCGAATAATATAAGTTTTTCTTTAGCCATGTTGGTATAAGGTTCCCTATTTTATATAGACATCCAACCGACCGTGAAAGCTCAGAACTTAATTTATTCATGTGTGTTCCAATTTAGCTCTTGATTAAACCAAACTCCCAGAAATTTTTGTTCGTGGATTTGTTCTATAATTTCATCTTTAAAATGTATAACTAAGCTGGTACTGTCGCATTTGTTTTTAGGTGCAAATAGTATATACTGTGTTTTTATCGCATTCAAATTTGGCTTGTTTGCTTGAAGCTAGGTCGGCAAGATAGCTATTTGTCAATAGTTCAAACTGGACTTTGGATGAGTCTGCAAAAAATATGCTGGTGTCATCCGCATACATAATAAGCTCATGAGATCCCGTGATTGCTGTAATATCGTTTATATATAGAAGAAACAGAAGGGGACCTAAGATCGAACCTTGTGTGGCATTTGATTTTCATTGTACTTGAGACAATGTTATTCATTTTAACAAATTGAAAATGATTTTCAAGATAATTCTTTATGAGAGCCAAAGCTATTCCACGTATTCCATATGTATGTAGTTTTCTGAACAGTATGTCGTGCTGTATAGTGTCAAACATTTTACTTAGGTCTAAAAAAATTCCCAGCGTATATAGTTTATTCTCAATATTGTATATTATTTTGTCCTTTGCCTCTACGAGTGCTTGCTCCGTGGATTTACCTTTCTGAAATCCATATTGTGATTTGTTAATCACATGATACTTAGATAGAAATTGGTCTATTCTGCTTTGTATAACGCCCTCAAATAATTTAGAGAATATAGGCAAGACCGAAATTGGTCGAAAATGTTTTAAGTATTCTCCACCCCCTTTGTAGACAGGTGTAACTTTAGCAATTTTAAGTTGCTCAGGAAATGTACCCGTTTCTAACATGCAATTTATGATGTGCAATAAGACGTTGCTAATATCTTGGGAAACATATTTAATAGGAACTGGTTTAATGTCGTCGATGCCAGCAGCTACATTATTTTTTATTTTTGTTATTAGTAGTTCTATTTCCTGTGGGGTGACTGGTGATAACATTATCAAGTTTGTTAAGGAAGTCGCGGTAGGTGTGTCGTAATATGCTTGCGTATCTGCAGTACACTCGCCTACTTTTACAAAATGCTCGTTCATTGCGTTAGATAAGTCCAACCCGCTCACACGCTTGCCA